GTACATCCGATTGTACAGTCCAAATAAATAAAGTCCATATTTATACAATCCAGATTTTAAATTTCATATATATACGGTCCAAATTTATATGCGCTCCCACAGTATTATTTATAATGTCTTATAGTACTATACTGTCCTAAATACTGCCTATATTATAATAATATTGAATCATCAAAACGTGGAGTTGTGCAAATTAATATAATGTAAAGATAAAATGTTCATTTTGATTATTACTGTAGTTCCGGGACTTCGATGTACGGTGGCACGATAAGCGCGATAACGGATTACACGCACTAATGTTAGGTGCGTTATCCCAGCACCCGCACTTTCGAAATCATAAATTGTAATCAAGCAGTATTATGTACTTTATTTTGTACAATTTTGTACAACCCCCAAACCTCCCCGAAATTCAATTTCATTTTACGGGTGTTATCGCGTATCTTTTATCAATATTGTATCTAAGATACTTTTATCGAAGATACAGCACTTTCTTTTAGGTAGGAATAGTTGCTGTTGATTAACTTATATAATTTAAAAAGAATCAACAGAATATATTAGGTAAGTTCTCAGATATCAAGTTTTAAAATTATGTCAATTATATTAAGTAGGTGCATTATTTTAACAATAGTTTAATTAACCATTTATATATTTATATATTAATATCATATTACATTTTTACATTTGTTAATGAATGATTTTTTTTCTGATAAGAATAACAAAAAAAATCGAAGAGTATCTATATTATATGCAGATACATCGATACATATATATATATATATATATATATATCTTGTTTTTACTGAATACAGTTGACATAGGAATGTCAACGCCAATTAGATATTAAATACTAGAATTAAGCTGTAGGTAACTTTTTTAACACGTTTAAAAAATAAACAAGGTTCAAAGACCGCATGTTAAATATTTTTTTGAATATACATTTTATTTTCATTTAAATGACAAAATCGTCATTTATAACACTTTTAGTAATTAATAATAAAGAACGGTGTAGTGAAATACAAAACGTACTCACGCGTTTTAAGCTGCTCGATGTGTTCATAAAATACTTAAAAAATATATATATTAATATAAACAATACAAATATGTTTATGAAGAGTAATAAGCTAACTAAAATTACAAATACCGATAATTCCCACCTACTGACATCGACGAACAAATTATTAACCAATATCAGTTATATTTATAAAATTTATAATGAGTTATTTTTATCGTCAATATAATTATTATTCAACTAGCTATACCTAATGTTACTTTTTTACTCATTTTTCTCAAAACTACTCCTTTGTTGCATACTGCCTTTTGGCTTAGAAGGGCAGTATACATGTCAATAAACATCGTTTTATATTTGTTATGCCGTAGGTATACCGTAAAAGTTTTTATTATTTTAATATTGTCTGACCAATTTCTTGTCATCATCACGGTAAGAGTTGTAATTTAATATTGTTATCTTAATGTTAAGAATAAAAATATAATATTGCATTTCTAAAAATAATCTAATACAATCTGATTTTAAGTTTGTACAATAATAAATACTATTTATAACCAATGAACAATGATACTAAGTAGTTGGTATGTCGTACGTGGGCATTATGCTACATTGCTACTTTCAACATTGTCGACTAATTCGTCTATTCATAATATCGCGCTTCTAAGCTTTATTAAAACAAAATGTATCGAATACTTTGACTCATAGATTCATTTTATATTAGTAAATTAGTATAATTTTGTCTATAATAATATATATTTGGTTTTAATATGAACTTGAATGTACCTATCGCCTAATGTCTTAATGTACTTCTTTTTTTCAGAATTGTGATCATTTAAATAAGTTACATTTATGTCGTGTATTAGGTATAATTTCCTTGAATTTATTTTGTTTTATATTAAAATATAATTAAAACTTTTGTGTATTACTCTAATAAGTGATGGCAAACGATAATAGAGAAAGAAAACCAAATAATTTAAATGAAAATATTAATGATGAAATTTTAAATTTGAAAGTTCAAATTACTTTGGATGGCTATATTATTATTGTATTAGTATAGGTATCTAAATAATATAAACAATGCAATATATGATTCAACATACTTACAGCTTTAATACATTCAAGTACCTATTCAATCATTTTAAATGTATAAGATCTACATTTTAAATTTATCAATTACCTAAAATAGGTACCTACTACAATTAAATTAATTAAATTGATTTTATGTAAACAAACAAAAGATTTCTTCTTTTAGAAAATAGTCTAAAAATAGTCAATATATGACTTACAAAAAATAAAAATATAGAATTAAATACAGTTATATCTATGGTAATTTTGCCTTTTATTAGGTATAATTTGTAATTTCCAAAAAATATAATATGTTTATTTTAGATTTAAAATTTATTTTATGCAAATTTGATCAACAATATTATTGTTACAACACACGTTATAACACATTGATGGACATTCTGAATTTTGGTTTTTTTTTCTTAAGAACCTTCAGAAACGCAATTAAATATTAATGCTATAGCAGTAGTAATTTTTTACTATTAACCACCTAAAGTATAAACTAGATTAAATTTCCTTTTTAAATAGGGGCTGAAGTCAAAAATAAAAGCACTATTACTACTCCAAAACATGATGACAGACACAATAAAAAAAAATAAAATAAAAAAAAAGCACACATCATTGTAAAATAAACACGTTCATCACTCCGTTAAGAATCTAAAAGTTTAATAAAAAGTATTAATATAGATGTTCTAGAATATAGAATTAACCTATAAAAAATAATTTAGTACATAATAAAGAATTGAGTTAAATGAATTACCAACAGAAGTTAAAGGTGGTAAACTATGATAATAGATAAAGGGAAAATATTTGAATTTTGTACTCGAACTTCTATGAACCCCACGAGCTGCCTTTAGTTTGAGAATTGTACAAAATAAAGTACATAATACTGTACAGTTTAAAGTTGAAATTTGTGAAAAATAGTTGATCCGGTTGCTGGTGTAACGTTACCGCAGCACCCGTAAAATGAAATTGAATTTCGGGGAGGTTCGGGGGTTGTATAAAATGTAATTTTGGTTGTACAAAATTGTGCAAAATAAAGTACATAATACTGCTTGATTACAATTCATGATTTCGAAAGTGCGGGTGCTGGGGTAACGCACATACTAATGTTCATTTACTACTCACACATTGACACAGCCAAAATGTTCATGTGATATAAAATGCCTAAATATTACTCCTCAAAACATGCTACGCTCCAGACCCCTTAATACCTGTATATTCCAGTATCAAAGTAACCCCACGAAAATTTTTTTTTGTTATACCTCAAAAACTATTTAACCAAATATAAAATTGGCGAAATTGAAAAATTCTATATTATTAGTATTAGTTTAGAACAAATAAAAAAATAAAATAAAGGTATCCTATGTTACCAAAACATTAATGACTTTGATAATTGTTTTCAAAATGCAAAAAAAATTATATTAAATAAGGCCACAACGTTGTATTGAGATCCGTAACAGTAAGTATTGAAGATAGAATGAGTAAAATAAAACAAATTAACAAAATTTACCAGTAACCCCATATTATGGGGTAACTATAATCTGTAATTTTGCTATATAGTTTTGATAAAATTCTATAGGGTAAAAACAAATAAAATAATAATTTAAATAATACCTATATATTTTTAGGTATAATATACTCCTTTAATAATATTTAAAAAAAATTTATTTTTTTTTTTATCTAAATAAAAAAGTATTTATCTTTATCTTTATCTTTATCTTTATCTAGTAATATACGATTTTAGTTATCTTTTATCTCAATCTAGATACATAAGAAGTGAATTATTTTTATCTAAATCACTAATCTAATCCGAACACTGCATACGTCCTGGAAAACCGGGATTGTCACCGGTTTTGGACTTCGCGTCCCGGTGTCTCGAAAAATGTTTTCGGGACGTTCATGTGTCCCGGCTTAGACGTTTAGGTGAAATGTAGTATTGTTTAATTTTTAATTTCGACCGTTTTATCTCTATGTACATTTGTAATCGTGATTGATTTACATTATATAATAAAAACATAATTTGTAATTTACACATATAAATATTTAATATATTTTATTTTATAAAAATATTTTTAAATATTATATTGGCGGCCATTAATGTCTTCTTAAGTGGTGTATACATAACTTTTGTATGGGCGGGGGATGATTTGCAAACAAATCATTATTTTTTTTTACGTTTCTAACGCCCTCACACAAAGAACATTATTTTAAAACATTTAAAAAAAGACCTAGGGGGATCTAACCTCCACATCCTCAATCCTTGTATACGCCACTGGTCTTCTCAATATATTAAAAGTTATATAAAAAGTATATTACTCAATATTGTGTTTGTGTTTTTCCCGGTTTCGCCTTATAAATGTATGGCAACCCTACAATATTGGCATATAGGCTGTTCTTCTTAAGTAAAAAAGTGAGGTACTCTTGTTGATTTAGATACGTCATACATTTTGTATGACGTATCTATATACGTATGTATATCGTATACATTTTGTTTTCAATCATTTTATAAAATTAGGCCCTCACGAAATACGTACTACGTTGAAAAATGTATAGTAGGCTCCTAATATATTTGATCGCCTATATGTAATAGGAATACTATATGTTCTATTTAGAATTTATATGCATATATCTGATATGGTAACCGGTGGGAACTTGCCACAATATACAGTCTATGCTACACTGCCTACAAACAAGCTATATAAAATAGTTATAAACATAGGTATTTTATCTAATTTGTACTACTAGTTAGTATTAGCAGTTACCACTAACTACAGAATAAATAGTCCTTAACTGTAATCTATTATATAAAACTATCACAGTGGAACCCGTTCGAATAAAATGTTTGTTACCACGGTTAAAAATATATATTTTGTTTGGTACCTGCACCATGTAATCTGTTATCACTTATACATTTATGATAATCTTGTTTTGTTTGCTAAAATATATGCATCTAAAAAATAATTCACAAGGCATCAACCATAATTCTCTAGTTCTATACCTACTCGTACCATGACAAAAATTATGCCTACCTAGAGGCTATTCATTATATGAACAATTTTGATAGCTTAACATTTTGATCTTTTATTTTTTTTTATTACAAAACAGTTATACATAATTTATGATAATTAAACAAATTTTCACTTGTTGGTAATATTTTCCTTTTGTAATGTCTTATATAAATGCTTATAAAAATCGATCCAATAATAATGGCTCGTCAGAAGATGAAAAACAAACTTTGTTGGTGTTTGGATATTCATGCAAGTTATTTAAAGATGATGAAAAAGCGCTTTTCATTGACCAAGGGAAACATTTGATACCTTGGATGGGCGATGAGACATTAAAAATAGACAGGTAAACATTATAACATTCATAAAAATTTGAATATGAAATAAAAAATATGTATGTTTTAATTTTATAGATATGATTGTCGTGGAGCCTTAAGTGACTTGAAGTCTGTAGAAGCCTTGCCGTTTGGCCAAAGCCGATGGGAAGGATTAACAGCTGAAGAAAAGAAGATTGAACAGTTATGTGATGAAGAAAGATATAAGTCTCTCAATGATAAAAGTGAAGAAGAATCAATTTATCAAGGTAGTTTATAATATTCTTTTAGGTTACATTTCGGAAATTACATTTGTATTTTTTTTATTTTATTTTATGAATTTCAAATTACAATTTATAACAATCTATAATATATATTTTGCTATAACTTTATTTTAATTTTAATATTCTTAAAAATGTTCTCAGTCATTAGTTTATTCAAATATAGATCCAGAAATATTCTGTGGAAAGTATTCTTAAATTTTTTATATATATATATATATATATATATATATATATATAATTATTATATTTATACATAATATTCATGCTTAATTAGGTAATAGACATAAAAAATAACAGATTTATCAAACAATGTTATTTTTATTTTCAGGGCCTTCTTTTCATATATTAATATTATTTATGTTAACAATGTCAATTTTCATTTTTTATTTAATTATTCTATATTACTTTGTTCTAGTTAAAAATTCATATGTGACAATCTAAGATAATATAGATTTTTGTTTTGTTTATATATAATTAGAAGAAGAACTTAAACGGCTCCATCAGGCTTTAAATAATGATGAAAATGAATATGGGCAAGTTGGTTATAAATATGAAGATGAGTCTTCCAATACATCCGAAATGAAAACTGCAGATGATACAGATTATGAACCTGAGTTAGAAGAAGCTTTTATTCCACCAAGAGAATTAGAAATTCCTTCCAACATGCATGTTGTACGATAAATTTAAAACTAATAATGTTAATATTCATTTTAAAATTAATTTTATTTTTAGCCACAAACTAAAAAATTAAATGCTATAATAGAAAAAACAGCATTATTTATATCTAAACATGGAGCACAAATGGAAGTTTTATTGAAAGCTAAACAAGCACACAATACTCAATTTGAATTTCTATCATATGATCGACCACTATATCCTTATTACCAACATGTACTTTCAGCTATTCGGTCTTGTCGTTATAATCCTACTCTTGCTAATGATAGCGCTGAAGGTAAATATTTTTAAGGGTATTTTTATAATCTAAAATTTCAAAATGCATAATACTTTTTATTTTTATTTTTAGATTCATTAGATTCCTCAAATGAAGAAAGCTACCTTCATCCAAGCCTACTAAAAAGTGCAAAACAACCAGAAACGGTAAGTTCCCTAGTATTTCTTCTACTATAATATTTTTAACAATTTTTTTTGAAAATTTCTATAATTTAAAAAGAAATTATATGATAACATTACTTGTCTGTGATATCTAACGTCATTGCTAGTTGCTTATATATACCTATTTTATTTTTTCCATGTTTATCATTAAGTAGAACAGTTATTATTTCTTACTTCTTAGGAATTGAAGAATCATCTTTTAAATTACAATTTTGAATTAAATTATATATATAAAATGAAAAAAATTATTTTGAGTTTCCTTTTTTTTTAAAAAATTAAAAATTTTATTATTAGGTCATTACTATTAATACTTTTATTAGTTAATATTTTAAAGACAATTTGTTTATATTTCATTTCTAGAGTAAATTAATGATATTTTACTTTATCAATTTGATCATAAAATAGTAACAGTTAGACGTCAAGTGATATCATTGCATTATAATATGTTGGTTGTAACTGTAGATAAGTGATTCATTTATAATATTGCCAGTGGAATACATCATCTATATACATTTAAGCTAATTATGAGGTAAAAGGTAAAGATGAAGACTTTTGGTTAAATTTCATAAAAATATATTTCTGTGATGAAATTTTAAATAACCATGATTTACAATAAAAATGGAAATGATACTTCAGTGTATTCAAAATTATCATCTTGAATGCTGCATGGTCTGGATGCTGGTAAGTTATATAATATTTAGATATTTTTATAATTATTTTCTGGTTTATGAATGTAATGGTTACATTTTTTTTTATTGGGTTGCTATTATTTTAGGTAATTTAGTGTGTGTACCTAACTAATACAACTTGTATATTAGAACTGTTATATTTTAAATTAGAAATCTACGAATGAACTATTTAAAATAAACTAAATATCTTCATGTTATAAAGTTAAATACTTTTAATGTGTCTATATTTTAAATTTCAAATTGTTATTATTTTAATTATAAACATTTAATATACATATATAAATAAAATATAAATGTATTAAATTGTCTAAGATCACTATAATTAGTATTTGACTAATCTATTGTTTCTTTTTGTTTTTAAATTATAAATTATAGTATCTAATTCTATTCTTTTTTTATAATTTATTTTGTGTATAACTTGTATAAAAATAAATATGATAACAAATATTATTAACTTTCAATTCTACAATGGGCATTTTGTAATTCAAATTACTCTTATTTCAATTTATTCATTACCAAGAGGTATTCTATTAGCATTTTATGGATTTTTTTTTTTAAATACAAAAATATTTAGATGGTTAATATAAAAATAAAATATTATTGTAAAATCAATTGTTTTTACTTCTAACTAAAAAAGTTAAAGAATCAAATTTAATATTTAATAAATGTACATTATTTTATAGTTCATATAATTTTAACAATATGAATTTATTAGTTTTTCACAAAAATGTTGTATTTATTTTTTCTGTAAAATTTAATATGTATGAACTTAATCTCTTTTAATATAAGATGATCTTTATTTAAATTAGACTTTTCAAAAATGTATTACCTAATAAAAATCCTTAAAAAATTAATAAAAAAAATGTTCATTTGTCAGAGGAATAATCGTCACTTTTTATATTATTTTACTTGCAAATAAAAATATTTTTTTTATATCCATATTACATTTAATGATTTAATTTTAATAAATGTATGTTACATACTGTTTATTTTGATAAGATTAATTTCTTCTTACATATTTGCATAAAATAAAACTATGTACACTAAATATTAATTAAAATAAGTATTGTTTTACTATTATCTAATTTAGTAATAATACTCTGTAAAGGATTTTTAAGACAGGTAAGGTTAGAGAAATATATAGAATTCATACTATGCATTATACATTATTGCTATGGCCTATGACTGATTAAGAAAAATATTTACCATTCTATTAATTTTAAACAATTAAGGTAAGTTTAGGATTACCCATCTAGCTACATTTATTATAATTATTGTATTTTATTTTTGGTCAACTATACATACCATTTTAAAAAGTTTTTAAATCATTTTACAACAATAACATTTTTAATAACTTTAAAATACTTATAACTAAGTTTTGGACATATATTTGTAAAAAATTTCAATGTTATGTTTTATTTTTCAGGTAATAACTGTGAGCAGATCGAGTTTCTATTTTCCAGTTTTATATTAACTTCTGAACCCATTTTTACATCCTTATTATCCTTTCTTATTAAAATTAAATATAAAATGGTAATTCTTTCATTGAATCCATCTGTGTTAAATATTTTTTTCTTTTGAATTTGACTAAAACAATTTTCCAGTTTAAATATAAGCTTGTTAATAAAGCTCATATGGCTTATATTCTTCCTTTTTTTCCTCTTCAGCTCTTAAATTTATTCAAAATAGCTTGACTACTAAATTCCATTTTTACCCAACATTTTTTTCACTATACCATTAAAATAAATTAATTTATTTCTAATTGAATTTATTTTCAGACGCCATTTATCCCAAGCATAACCTACAAACCATCTGCAGACTGTTCTTACTCATTGTTAGTTAATAAAATTAAGGAAAAACAATCTGCAATGCCTGTTGAGGAAACCTCTGTAAATGAAGTAGAAAATACTTCTACAAATGTAACTACCTCAGAATTTGATGGATTAACTAAATCAGCTAGACGTCGGTTAAAAAAAAAATTAGTATCTCAATCTACATTAAATGTCTCAAACTCGCCAGAAACAGATGATAATGAGACTATTGATGAATTGAGTTCAACTGAAGTATGTAAACTTAACTCCAAATTAATTTAAATTTTTTACTTAAAAATATAAAATTAATTTTAAAACAATGATTTATTATTACTAAAAATTTAGATCCTATATTAAGTGAATTATTATTTATAAATCAATATTCTGATTTTACTGTAGTGTTTTAAGAAACAGTTTTCTAAAATTAATCAGTATTTGAAAATATATGAGTCCATTATATTTGTATAATTTTTTTTGAATATTTTAGTTATTAGTATATGTTCAGTAATTGGAAATAAATCTATTGAAATAATATTTGTTATGTAATTAGTAATAAATTAAAATTTAATTAATCATTGTTATTTATAATTATTTTAGATTACTACTAGTATTAATAAAGGATCAGAAAATACAGTCCAACAAAATGTCACAATTGGTATTGATGTACCCCCTAATGATTTACAAATCATTATTGATAAAATGGCATCATATGTCACAAAAAATGGAAAACAGTTTGAAGAAACTGCTCGAAAAAGACGTAAGTTGAATATAATTTATAATTTTTATAGTTAAAATAATGTTTATTTATTTTTAGAGGATCCAAGATTGAAATTCTTAGAGCCTGATGATTGTTTCAATGCATATTATACTCAAAAACTTAAGCTATATGCAACAATTAAAAAACTGGAACAAACAGCCCCATCAAAATGTAATGTGGATTCTAAAACGAATTCAAAATGTAATTATAACAAACTTACATATTATTATTATTATTATTTAATTTTGTAATAAAAACTAATTATTTAATATTAATTTTAAAATTTTTTTTCCAGTACCTGTATGCTTTTCTTTGAAAAAGCAAAAAGAATCAGAATCTACGGAAATTAAAAAAAGTGCCCTAGAAGATAGTTCAAATGAAATGAGTGATGATGAAAATAAAAAAGATTGTAATGATAAGACAGAGTCTAACCACTCTAAAATAATGAAATCTGTTACATCTGCAAAAAAAAATCCATTACAAAACACAGCTAAATTAGGTAAATTAATTATTTTATTACAAAATTCTCTTATTTTCTGCCAGTTGTTTAATTATCAAATATAAATTATTAATTCTCATCAATAATATGTGTGTAAGTATCTGTTTGGTTTTAAAAAAAATGTATATAATTTTTATTATTTTTAAATTTGTTACATTGAAATTGAAAACTTTTATTTAAGAAAGCTTAATTGATTGTATTAAATTACAGCTGAAGAGAGATTAAAAGATAAATTAGCTATGGCAGCAAAAGAAAAACTTGCCATGTTAGAAAGAGAACGCACTAAGAAAGAAAAAGAAAAAATTCAAGCAGAAAGAAAAAGAAAAGCTGCACAATTTTTAGCTTCAATGAAAATAGTTAGTTCATCAAATAAAAATTCCAGCGCTATTCCAAGTGTCATAAACTCAGAAACACTGGATAGTTGTTCAAGTACTATATATTTTATACTATTGCATGAATTTGCACTATATATTCAATAAATATTAATTTTCTAGATTCACCACTACAAAATTCTGTAGCTATAATTACTGATCAGAAACCAATTACAAATGCAAAAAATGGTTTACCTGATAATGATCTACAAGTTGTTACTGTTCAATCTTCTTCAAAAGTACAGGATATTATATCCATTGGTTCTAGGTACTGTATAATTTTTTTTTATTAAAAATCATATCATCATACACATTTCAATCCAATTTATTACAAATATATATTTTAGTGATGAAGATATATCCAACGATGGTCTTCTTAATAAAAATATCAATGGAAACAAAATTAACAAAATGTCACTGCAATCCAGACTACTAGGTATATAAATGTATTTATTTTTTATTACTTTCATACAATTAGAAAATGTGTATACAGTAGAATCTCGATTTTCCGGAGTATATGGAGGTATCACACAGATAAATGAAAACTACAGCAGATCAAGAATTTTTATTTAATGAATTTTAATTTATATTTTTTTATTAATTATTGCATTTTATTTAACCTATGTTATATGAAAACATATTGTCATGTTTTTAAATTATCTGGGCCTGACATTTGAAATAATCAATCTTTATTTTTTATTGCAGTATGAAATTATTTTTCTTACTTCAATTCGAATTTTTCTTAAATTTATGACATTATGGAAGTTAAATTTTTTCTGCTCACAGAAATTCAGAAAGTTATCAACTACTTCCATAAATCTTTTATAATATAGTCCACACATTGTTTGTTATATGAATATTATTGATAGTCTTTAGTCTAAGTACAATATACATACTGCTTATGCACCTTTACTTTTGGTACACACAAAATTTTGAATAAATGTGCACAGTTATCATGGTTCTACTATATATAAAATATTTATGTATTTATACTTATAATTTTTTTTTTTTTTTTGTATGTATGATTTTTGTTAAATTCATATTTGAATATTATTTCTAGAAACTATTTCCAAAGACAAAAAACGCAAAGTAACTGAAGAAAAAGAAAAAGATTATTATAAACGTATCAAGCGTTATGAAGAAATAAAAGAAAAATCACCTGACCAGTAAGTATTAAATATTTATTTTTTAGTGTTGTAAAATGTAACGACTGAAAAAAGTTAACAGTTACATTCTATTGAAATTGAAAGCAATTAATAAGTTACTATTACATAGTTTATATTATATATTTGCTGTATACTAAATGAATGTTCAACATATAAATAATTTAACCATATGTTATGCTAAAATCAAGTAAATTAACCTTTAATTTATGTTTAAAAAAATTATTTTTTATCTAGTTATCATTATGTATATTTTTTCAATAATTTTAGAGTATATTCATCTCGTGAAAGAGATCGAAGTAGCAGGCGTTCCAAAAAATCTCACTCTAGCCATCATAGTTCTTCAAAAGATCACAAGAGTGATCGTAGTAGCAGACGATCAAAACATAAACATAAATCTAAGAAATCCAAAAAACATACTCGTAGCCATAATTCAGACTCTTCAGACGACAGCACCAATACAAATAATAGCCGTTATTCATGAAGACATGGTTCTTTTTTTTTGTATTCAACATAATATTAACAGATAAACTGTAATTTCTGTTTATAAAATATTGTCAACATTGTACTGTATATTTAACTGTATATTATTTCATGTTTGTAAATACATTAGTTTTTAAGTAAATAAACGATAATATTTTTGTATGAATAATTTCTTATATTTCTTATATATGAATAATTTCTTATAGGTAGTATTGCATTATCATTATAAAGCAGTGCATTCTTTTAAGGAATTTTCACTGGGCAATAAATCATTTTTTTCTTCAAAATAGTCAATGTATATTAGTATGATGGTACATTTCGAAGTTCTGAACGTGATGAGTCACTGATGAAAATTAGTAATACTGAACCGTTTCGAAAACAATTGAACTTGATAATTTATTAACTCTAATTAATTTTCTCGTTCTTTCAGTTTTTCAGTGAAAATATTTTTATTTGAGTATGATCTTTAATCCCTTTGTATGAATGCATACCACTAAAGTAGTATTTTTAATAAATTGCACTTCTTTGACAAGAAGATTTTCATATGTTTCAACAGCCCCTCAAAAATCAGAACCATGGTTGACATGGTTTTCAGCATATAGTAAATTATTTAAATCAACTAAATTAATAATTTTTATATCACAAGTCCAAAATTTAAAATGTTAGCTTAATTTTTTCATTCAGCTTTAGACCATTGAGGTCCATGGCTGCAAAAAAAACTTCTTTTCATCTATCTCTATTCAGGATAATTAAATATGATTGTCTATCCCTAGTTATTTTAGTTTTTTCATACTTTTGTCAATCCATCTCTGCTTTGGTTTTCCAACTAGTCTCCTTCCCTGTAGAGTCCATTTTAGTACATAATTAATTATTGATTTAGTTCTTGGTACATATTCAAGACAACACAATCTTTTAAATCATATTTCTAATATTATATTTAGTTTTTCGAATAGTTCCTGTAGTTCCCAGTTACTCCTAATTTCGTATGTTTGATCTTAATTTCTTTTAGATCCATAGATTCTTCAGAGGAATTTTCTCTCCAAGAAAGCAAGTGATTTTTTATTACCCTTAGTCGAGGGCCATTTACTTCATTTTGCCATAATCAAATTGTATACCTGACAAGGAAAAAAATTATGAAATTAGTTGAAATCTATTAAAATGATTTATATGCAGTGCGTTAGCAGGAATTATAGATTTTTCTAACGTTATTGATGCTCTTCAAAAATGTAGTATATCCATTTTCCCTTCTTCTTTTAAGCTTCTACAAATTTATCAACTCTCCCAGTTGCAACTGCTAGCCGTGATCGATATCAGAGGCGCCATTTCAGTTTTTTTTAAGGATATGCAAGCAATTAAAGAGGCCAATTTTTTCCCACCACCAGGCCAACATTCATGATTAGCAGTGATTACTGATCAGCCACGGTGCATGCATAACATCACAGATTGGAAAACTGAAGGCCAAAGTGGCAAGGCCATGAATCAGTGACGCCTAGGCCAATAATTGAAGATGAAAAAAAATCAGGGTTTGCAAGTGCACACCCTGCTCCTCCCCAAAATGGCGCCCCTGATCGATATTTTTCAATATTAAAAATAATTAAAACATACATGCGAAACTCCTCATGTGTAGTAGACTGAATAGTTTAGCAATGACAAATATACAGTGATGTAATAATAAAACCAGATGATATCTTAAATAAGAGACAGAAATGTTCTTTGCAGTTAATCATATGTAAAATAATTATACAAAAAATGTTGTGTGGCACAATAACAGATAAAATAAATAAAAAATTATTTCTCAACTTGAGTTTGTTCTGTGCAATCATGTATAATTTACAGCAAGGTCTTAGAAGGTATCTTCAAAAATTCAAAGATTTATAAAGTTGTAGCATTGATAACAGAATATATTAAAAATATAATCTATAACCAATAGTTTTAGTGTACATTTCGATTAAACCATATATTATACAGACTGTAGTTGAACTCCGAAGAAAAAAACTAACTACTATATGTAGAAATTGTACAAGTACCTACTACGTTTGAATGAATTAAAAACTAACATATCTATTTTATTATAAGAGGTAAAAATTCTATTACTAATCTAAAAGTGGAAAAATTGTATCATTTTTTCAAAATAATTATACTGAAAGATAAAATAATAACATAGATTAAATGTATAATTTGAAAAAGAGGTTCTAAAGAGAAAAAGAACTTTTAAAATAATTATAAATAACTTGGATCTTGGATCAACTAGTGTCTACTATTGGCTAACTATGCATATCAATGAACAATAATTCATAGACAAGAAATTAAAATATTACTAAAATTATATAAGCTACGACTAATATGCTTAACATATAGATTTTCTGCAGACTTAATAAACCTGTTTTACAGCTACGCATATCGTACGCCACGTTTTCGAGTTACATTATTATTATAAATAATTCAAACATAATTTTAAATAACAAAAAAAATATACTTTAATTTTGCACCAGTTAGGACAATTAGTTCATACATTTAAGATGAAATTGTTTATCAAATTTGTATTTTCAAAAATTGCATAGAAAACGTGAAATGTTTTGGAGTACAATGACAGCATATTAAATAAAAAAATTTAAATATTCAATAAGTGACAAGATCATTTTTAGCAGATATACTAGACCAAGGAAAATCTATACAAAAATATAGTATGTGAAGAATCGGACATTCAATTTTTAATGTAGAAAAAATTAAAGTACACCAGTTATCAACTTTTAAACAAATGTTAACAGAACTACTACTAAATAGGGTTGTATGCACTTTTAAGTAGTACTCATCATACATTTTGTTTATTATTCTATGGCAAATTCCAGGTTATCAAAGATCATGTAATACTTGGAAATGCTTCTATATAATACACATTTGGTAAGGAAAAAGTATACTGTAATACAAAACTAAAATTTAACAAAAATTGTTTAAAAAACAGTTTTTATTTTACTTTAAATATAAGTATAGTAAATTATACATATAAAGTAAATCAAGCTTGAAGTACACAGGCACCACCAACTTTCTTAATTTTTTGCTCAGCAACCTTGGAAAAGAATTTAGCCTTTACAATAAGTGGCTGTTTGGGAAGATTACCTTTTCCCAAAACTTTGTAATAACCCTGAAAAAGATTTTATTTAATTAGTATTAGATACTATAATATTTGACATATTACTGAATAGAACCAATCAGATTAAATAATGGCTACATAAAATTTGTACTTCAGACCGCCAGTCGCTAAACATTAATTTTCTCATCATTGAGGTTCAATTGTAAAAGAATAAAAATGTATAACTTACCTTTCGAACAACATCAATGACAACTGCCTTTTCTTTGTCATTTTCATATTTCTGTCTAGTCTCTTCAGGGATGAGTGTGTATAGCTGTTCAAGATTAATAGTTGGACACCATTTTGAATTTCTTCTCAAATGGTAATTACGCATACCCAACTATATATATATATATAAAAAAATAGTTTAATTATAATAAATTTTGATAAATTTAAAAAAAAAAAAAGAAATTTGTTTTATGATGTAAATTTTTCAAGTAATCTTGAAAATTCATAGTGAAGCCGTGTAATTGTTTTTATAATCAAAGACAAAGACAAAAAAAAAACTAATACAATGCATTTCATAAAATTAGAGACTAGATTATAATACAGCTGGAAGGTTAGTTTTTGTGTATTCCAAATGCTCCAATTTGATTTTTATAGCAACAATTTTATTGGGACATAATTTCAATATCATACATAGAGTCCTGCTTACTTTAGGACATCAGCCATATTGTAGTAGTCTCAATTTTAGCAAGAAATAAATAAATTAACAGTCATATTCTATTGACAAGAAAAATTAACATATTTATCACATATTACAGCAATAATGATCCATTAATTACACAAGCAACACATTCATACTTATTGATTGATAAAAGATATCAATACATTATAGGAATTGCAATATATTACATATGAGTAAGAATTATGTTTAAACAATTTTAAAAATTGATAATAATAAAATATAATTTACCTAAATCTATAATATACTCGGATAAAATGGAAAATGTATATACTGTTATGTACCAATAATAGAGAATAAAACTATGAACTATCTTAAAAAAATATATTAAGTTGTGAAAAATATTTAGGTATTCATCAAATTTACAACTTGAAGAGCAATGAAACATTTAAAAGTAATGTAAGTACTGAATATAAAGTTTTAGAAATTACCTTTCCAAAATAACCAGGATGGTATTTATCAAAATTTATTCTGTGGTGATGCATACCACCAGCATTACCTCGACCTCCAGGATGTTTCCTGTGTTTACCTGGAAATTAGTTTACAAAATACCATTAAAAATGTTAACATGATAAAATAATGAAGTACAACTTATGACATAAAACCAATCAGAAAATGTAAATTTGCCACATAAAAATTGTACTTCAGACCGCCTGTCGCTAAACATTAATTCATCATCTTGGTATATATAATTGAAAAGATTATGATAAATATTATAAGCAATCTAAATAAAAATAGTGTTACTTTTAAAATGTAGATTGTTTAATTTTTTCAATTAAAAATGTAAATAATTGTTCATAAAGAAAACAAATCAATTTAATTTAGCACACACTATATAACAAAATACTAAAATTTGTAAATTTGTTGATCAAATGGTGCAAAATAATAACTTGAGAACACAATTATTTATTTGTTTGATTATATTTTATGGTTACTTATAAATATAAAATGAATACAAGCATCGATAAAGAATACTTACCTACACGACCATGTCCATGACTGACATGTCCACGCAATTTCCTGGTCTTCTTCTTACTGGTAGTCTAAAAATGAAATGTTTATTTATTATTTTATGGAAATAGATTTCACTTGAACGACTAGTAATAAGAATCGTATCTTGCGTTTCGTATATAACAATATGATACAACATAAAGGCAAAACGTGGACAAAGAGTCATTCAGCATTTGAAACATTCATACTAATGTAAAAATGGTTAAAGAATTAGAATTTGCAGAAACGTAAGCCGATGTAAATTGAAAAATTACAAATAAACGCATATCATGCACAAAACATCACATGGTTCACTGTTTCTCTTAGATCTACTCGTTAAAACTTGATTTAAAGCACTCAGGATTTAATGTACAACACGTACGCTGTGAAAGTAAACGAGTATTTGATAATATTGGGAGAAAATTTTAAGTACAACATTTAAACTTACATTTTGCTTCAGCAACGAAGAAAAATGAAACTGTGCACAACTTAAGAATTGAAATCAAGAGGACAAGAGCACACGAACACAACGCATACTAGAAATACAAAAACACATACTATTATAGGTTAGGTAAAATACGTGTTCTCTTTGGAAACAGTGTTGTCAATATTCACATTTGTAGAGCTTATAAATATTGTACTATTGTTGTTCTGTGCGTAGATAATAACAATATTAGATTATTACATATTAGATATTAGAATAATTTTTTATCTATGGTTCTGTGGTATTCCATAAAAGTAATATATTATCTAATTAATATAATAATTAAAATTAATTTAATATAATTCTTCTTCTTCTTATGTGCCTTCACAACTCCGTTGGCTGCCACCGTCACTGGTCTCCAATAATCACGATCCTGTATTCTTTCCTCCCAATATGTTACTTCTAGCCTCTCTAGATCTTGCTGTACTCCATCCATCCATCGTTTCTTGGGTCTGCCTCTGGGTCATCTGCTTGTTGACTTGTATTCAATTGCTGCTCTAACTTCATTTGTTTGTCCTCGTCTCATGTTTCCAAACCATTGGATTCTCTGTCCTTTTACATAACTTGTTATGGGAGGTACTATGGTGATTTCTCTTATTTCTTTGTTTTTTCTTCTACGCCACCTGTTTATTTCGGTATCAAAAACTGGTCCTTTTATTGTTCTTAGTTCTCTATCCTCAAAACTTCTGAATTTTCGTTCGATCTGCACTGTCGTTGGCCATACTTCGCACCCGTAGGTTAGCATTGGTTTTACAATACTCATGTACAGTCATAATTTTGTTCCTCTAGAGAATAGTTTCGATTTGAAATATTTTATTAGTGAGAAAAAAATCCTTTCTGCTTTGAGCAAGCGACTGGTTATTTCGGTGTTCCAGTCGCTGTTACCAGTGATTGTCACACCTAGGTACTTGAAGCTATGTGCTTTCTCGAATACGTAATTATCTACTGTAAGGTCTTCCTCATCTATTTCAGGCAACATTTCCATTGCTTTGGTTTCCTCCTCATTTATTTCTAGACCAATCATTTTGCTTCCTGTATGAGTGTTTTGGTATTTCGCACAATAATTTCCTTGTTTTCTCCTACTAAATTTAGATCGTCAGCAAAACCTATCACATCTAGCGTGGTTTTGTCAATATTAATTCCTAGTTTATTACTTTGTACACTGCGTATTACTTTTTCTAATGCTATGTTGAAAAGTATTGGCGATAGTGCGTCACTCTGCTTTCAAGCCCTGTTATCACTTCAAATTCTTCGGATAATGTAAAATCCACTCTAACTTGGTATTTTGTTCTGTCCATACACATTTTTGTCAGTGATATGAGTTTCCTAGGGAGGCCGAACTCATACATTAGTATATTATATAAGCTGTCGCGATGGATGCTATCATAGGTTTTTTTGAAGTCCGCAAATACTTGCCATATGTTTTGTCTGTACTCATACTTCTTTTCCTAGAGCTGTTCTATAGTTGCGAGCTGGTCTCTTGTGGATTTGCCTTTCCGAAAGCCACACCGATAACTTCCTATACACTCTTCAGCCAAAGGTTCTAGTAATCCTAATAAAATTTTGGAGAAAACTTTGTAGGTACCATTATTTAGTAATGATATGCCCCTATAGTTGTTGCAGCTCATCTTGTCTCCTTTCTTGTGTACCGAAATGACTATAGCCTTGTTCTATTCTTCAGGTAGTTTTTCTTCATTCCACATCGATTGCATAATTCACATATCGTTTTGTGCAGTTCTGAGTCACCATACTTTATAAGTTCAGCTTGTATCCCGTCTGACCCGGGGGCTTTCCAGTTTTTTAGTCGATTTATAGCTCTTAATGTTTCATCTAATGATATATCCTTAACTTTTTGTTCCGCTCTCTAATCTTCCCAGGCTGGTATTGGTGTGGTTGGTAACTAATTTAATATAATTACAGTATAATAATTCATATTGTATTTATGAGTGTTACTAAACATTAACTTTATGAAAGTTGCAGCTACGATGTCAAATGTATTTGTTCAGACACTTTAGAATTTAATTTCATAAATTCCATTTATAAATTGAAATTCTTAAAACTACATACATTCATACCTACAATTAGGGTTGCTATACGTCCCGGAAAACCGGAATCGTCACCGGTTTTGGACTTTGTGTCCTGGTGTATCCCAAAAAATGTTTTCGTGACGTCTAAATGTCCCAACTTAGACATTTAGAGGATATGTAGAATTATTTAATTTTTAATTTCGACGATTTTATTTCGAAGTACAATTTTAATCGTAATCGATTAAGAATAGGTATTTAATAATAACATCATTTGTAATTTCCACTTATAAATATGTAATTAATTTTATTTTACATTAATATTTTTAAATAATATATTGCCCGCCATTAAAGGTCCACTTAATATATTAAAAGTTATATAAAAAGTATATTACTCAATGTATTTGTTTTCTCCTGGTTTTACCTTATAAATTCATGGCAACCCTACATGAAATATTTCTTGCTCAAACCAACAAAATTATTATGAATCACTAACTCACAACACTCAGTATTTTTAAAATTATACCTTATTGCCACAACAACAACGCAACATTTTGTCAAAACTGTGCAAAAAAAAATTACTCAATATGAAAATTGTGTACTGTTTTATAAGTATAATTTATTAATTTTTTAACATTAAATCCATGTTTATATATACTGGAGAGATTTGATTTGAGTCTTAGCCATCAGAGAAAAACTAATTTTATTGTGCACCAAAAGGATAGTTTACACTTGTACTTGGAAAACTAACCTTCTTATTTTCTAATTTTTATACTCTAAAATAAAAAATTATTTGTATAAATACTTATGTACATTTATTTTATTTTGTGTGTTGGGATACTAAGAGAAGGAATTTCTTAAAAATATTAAAATTTAGAATAACAATGTATATGGATTTTTTTTGTATTTGTATTAATTTGTATTCTATAAAAATATTGTTTATTTATAAGTTCTCAATATGATTATTGATTAATGTCTTGTTTTAATTTTTTCTGATTGTAATTGCATTAAATTGGAAATAGAAGAAAACAATAATCAAGTTGGTATGGAGGAAAATCCCATTCTGTATGGTTTTTTTTTCTAATTCATACTCCAAATTATGAATTTTTTTTATTTTGTATATAATTTATAATAAAATCAAATGATACATCAAAATGAGCAAAAAAGGCTACATCCAATAATTCCTTAATACTTTTCTAAACCATGCTTGTTCAAACTTGAGAAAAATTGTATTAAGTCAGTATGTTCAGTATTTTAATGATACCTTTTGAAATTATTTTTCTTATAAAGTTTTTATTACCTATTGGATTTTATAGTATTATATTACTTTAAGCTTTGATTGCATTGGATTGCATTTGCAAACCAACAAATATTTTTACCAAAACAATATTATAAGTTTTATTTTTAATTTTTGGAATTTTTAAAACTCCTTTTGAAATTAGTACTTTTACTATGGTTTGAAAAATAATAAGATAATGTATGCAACTTTTGTAGTGATTTAACATACATTTTAAGTTAAAAAAATAAAATGCTGAACCAATATAATTTCCTGTTTTTCATCTGAATCTTAAAGTATCAATCATCTTATAATACCAATTCAATACAAATAAAAATAATAATACAAATAAATTTGTAGAATCAATGAACTTTTAAATAAATTCGCATTCAATAAATAAATATTGTATACTAAATAATTTTAAGAGGAATAAACTACAATAAAAAAAAATTAGTTTTTTTTATTGCAAACATTTGTTATGAATAATAAATAAATAAAATATAACTATTTATTTATTTTTAATTAAGCAATTGAGTCTTCTGAAGAAAAACGTGGAACAAACATATCATTATTAACTTGATCAGGTAACCTGGCTGCATTCTAAAAATAATTAAAATTAATAAACGATTGAAGAATATAAAGGAAAAAATAAAATTGATCCTCCAAAAACACTTACTAATTTTTTTGCTCTTTGTTCCAACAAGGAATAAGCAAAATGATTTAGCTGAAATCAAATAAAATAGAATTTATTGTGAGATATTATGCAGTAAAATGTGTTATGATATTTATTTAAAATATTAATTGAAAAAATGAGTGTAATAAATATAATTAATGTAGAAAATGTAAAAACATTAAACAAATTCTAACTACATAAAAGGAGAAAAACATTTTTTCTCAGTGTAATAATTCTGTTTTTATGCTACATCTATAATTAGGAAACTTAAAATAATTTAAATATTATGAGCTACACCATGTTAAATGCACTATTAATTTTATATTCTATATATATATATAGAATATTATATATAATATAATATATAATATTATACATATTAGTATATATAATATAATGTTAATTTACTTTAAATTATTAATAAATTCAAATAGTATCTATATATTTGTTATAAAATACAAAACTGAGTAAAAATATAATATGTAAGATTAATTGTAATTCTTGATTCATTAATAAACAAAAAAGGTTCGACTATTTTTTAAATAATAAAATATTAATTATGTTTTTAATATTATTGAATATCACTAAAAATAAGTCAATTAATTTAATAACAAAATTGTAAAATTTACCATAATGCCTTTAGGTAAGGAAACACCTTGAAATCTATATAAATGACCATATTTAGTATCTAGACGATGTACCTAGAAAAAAGTAAGGTAAGTTAATTTTTCTTAAAAAAAAATAAGAATTTCTTTGTAATAACATACAGCAGTTATTGTGCAGCGCCCTAATAAATCTGTATTGCCAATCATAGGTCCTTTGCTTATATCAATATGATCACCAATTCTGTATAAAATTACCTTTTTATCTATAAATCAAAAATGTATTAAAAACTATTTCTTTATAGGTAAATTTAAATGTTCTACTATAATTTTAAGAAATAATATATAATAGGTTTAAACAGTACTGATTTTAATGGTTATAATATTATAGTATTGATAAGATAAATAAGATATAAGACGATTATATACCGATAGACTGCTGGGCAATATTTGGAACCTGTTCTTTTTTAAATTTATTATCCTGAAATATGTCTAAAGCTAATTCTTCAGAAACAGCTAGACGATCAAATCGATAAGATGTCTGTGCTAATTTAACCATATTAGCTGATAAAATTCTAAGTTCATTTTCTGTTGGAGTCCATTCTGGTAAATTTGATAACTCTACATCATAAACAAAGCTTCCACTTTTCACTATTAACATAAAAAGTATTCAATAAATAAATAATAAAAGTTAAACTTAAGTAATATAATTAAAGGAAATAATATATAAAATAACAAAACATACAACATAGATAATAGTTTTATATAACAATCCATAGTGACATAATGAACTCTTCAGAAGCCAGTAGCATTCGAAATGCACAAGTAGAATAAATAAAATAAAATGAAGTAAAAGCTTTATAATCAAAGTAATTTGATAGATCAAAAAAATAATAAATACCATTAGGTGAAGGGAAACTATGTAATGTTGGTTGAATATCATTTTTAAACGCTTTAGAAATGACAGCTCCTAGAATAAGTGAACAGCTGCGCCAATATGCTCTGTTGAAATGATAAGGATCTGGAAGATGCTGTGCGTGCATAAAAGTAATTTCACAATCTGATTCAAGTGGTCTATGCATATCCCATAAATGTGTATTATCTACTAAAGCTAATCCAGTTCTTTTGACCAACATTTCCGATATATCTAGAATTAAATAGCTAAAAAGGTAAGTACTGAAAATATGGATTAAGTAGAATTAACTTGTATACGTTTGGCACAATCATAAGGAGTTGAGATCCCTTTGTTCATGGACAATGTGACATTTTCAGGCACGCCATGATATTTAATAATCATTTTTTCAATACGTCCAACTGCTTCTTTTTGCTTTTTTTGTTCATTGTCAAACAAGTTATTTTGATAAGCCACTATTTCACTCAAGGGCTCTACGTTTTTTGATGTCGAAACATATCTTCTAGCTACAAAACATAGAGTATATTTAAGTAAATAATAAGTGACTGAAATATTTTAAATATGGTATCCTATAAGTATTTATGCTCACATAGTGTATAAGTGTATTTTTTGTAAAAGCAACTAGTAAAACACTTCATTATAAGAATACAAATATAAATAGGTAAAAATACTTCATTAAATTATAATAATTACTATGAAAATAAAAATACGGAATTAAATAATATTGGATCCACAGAGTTATGAGAAATATTCATTCTTTACGGCTACGGCATAACCTAAATATTAATAATAGATAATATATCAGTTTATTATCAAACCCTATTACCATTGATAAGTATACTTTTGTATTGTATATTTAATCAATGCTATTACATATCCCATAAAGCAGGGATGGCTACTGTTTAGTTGGCCCGTGCTTCATTTTATTACGTCATCTAATATTGAACTGTAGCTAAATTATTAAATGTCTAAATAATAATATTCATCCATATCGGCGTAGCTATAGGAGTTAGCATAGATGTAAATCAGAAATTTATTAGGGGGGAGGGGCAAAAATATGATTACATATCTAACGAAAAGGTTGTCCGAGGCTAAATGATGCTTTACTACCTACATATTATCATATAAAATTATTCATTTTCTAATATTATGTTGAATAAGCGAAAATTTAAAATTAAGATTTTAAAAAAAAAGTGTTATAGTAATAGCTATAACCAGCTGTTTTGTACTTATTTTAAAACAAGGTATGTTAAATATCAGAGGGGGGTACTGTCCCTCCTAATTTATTCTTGGGGGGCAATTGCCTCTCCAGTTTACGCTTATGGGTGGTAAGTTAATTTTTTTATTTTGTTGACTCAGTTGTACAATTAATTTATATAAAATAAATGCTAATTGTTAATTTTTTTTTTTTCATTACTCTGGCTTGCCATGTTATAAATTGACCTTCTAGTTATTTTGAGTTACAGATTTCTTCCATAGAGTACAAGGACAGATTTAAGGGGGTTCGGAAGGTCAGATGACCCACTGTTAATATTTGTTGACAAAATTGGCCTCTTGAAGACTTTTTATACCTTTTAAATGTGCGACTTTAAGCATAAACTTATAATCTAGTTCCAGCACTAATAAGTGGCCTCTTGAAATAGCTTCAGCCACAATTATCCTACTGTGAATCTACTCCTCATAAAGTATTACTCTATGATATATCCTTAGATCAAATACTACACAATGTATATGTAATCTAATTGTAGTGACAATATATATATATACACAATGTTGTTAAAAATACAAATATATTCAAAAATATTTTAAAAACTTTTAAATACATTTTTTTAAGCTTTGTTGTTGTCAGATTCTTAATTCTTAAAACATTAGAACACATTAATTACATTAATTTCATGTGAGTAGTAACTAGTGACTTAATGACCTTAATAAATTAATTTTAATGATTATTAGTGAATAACGAGTGTCGGAGTATATATGTGAGATACTGGATTTTGAGGTGACATACAATTATAGTAATTTTTTCAAAATTGAAAAACCAAACTAATAATCTTGTTCGAAAACTTTGTATTTAATATTTTTAAATACAAGATATAATAATAAGTATTTAAAATACAAAAGTAATTAAATCCTAATATTTAAATATTTAACAAATATGTATATATGTATATGTATAAACAGAAAAACTAAAATATTGATATTTAACACGGAATATATGGAAGCCCATAAAGATCTTAAAAATCAGATCTTAGATCATTAAGTTTAAAAAATATACTATCTAATAATATGACTCATGTTTAAATATTAAGCATTTTTTTTTATTCATATTAAAATTATTAACATTTTAATAAATAAATTAAGTACATTTATCTTTAAATTAATTAATGTACACAGTTGCTTGAATTTGATAGTATATAAATAAATAAAGAATTTCCTTTATTGAGTCCTAGTTTAAATTAAAAAAAAAAAAAATCGATTACTCTAGTAAAAATTTGAACCAATTGTTAGCAGATTATTATCAGAAATGTTCATAATTAATTGGTCCTGCGATTTTAAAGTATTGTAGAGCTTTTTCTAGACACGATTCTTCAATGTTATAAATTGGATTAGTCTTGTTTAAAATATTTTCTGATTTTCCAATAACACAAGTATTGTTTTTGATAGAATGTTGAGCGATAGACAAGCCACTAAGAACATAACAAGTGTGATAAACATCCGGTGGTTTTCCAGGCTTGTCAATAAGACCTCCACTATATCTATTTTGACAACATATAAGCACATATTCTTGAAGAGCCTGATAATTATACATAGACCACATTGTACGCTGTTCTTCAGATTCTAAAAGTTCTGAAAGAATTGGAAAAATAGCAGCTTGCCAAAATGAATAGCAACCATCTACAAGTTTATTAGTTCGACCTTGGAAACCACCTTCAAATGACATTTGTTTATTCGCTACCCAACGTAGGAGAGATTTTGTATCACACATATGAATAGATCGAAGTAGTAATAAAGCTGAAAACCCACAAAAAGTATATCCACCATGAGCTTCTACTCCAGGCACACCACCAAACCCTCCTTCGTAAGTTTGGCATCTAATCACCCATTGAGCACTTGAGTCAAACAAAGTATCTGTATATATGTTAGTCAAACGGGCTACAGTTGCAGCACAATATACAGCCCTAACATCAGATTCACCATATTTGTGCATTCTGAATGAACCATTAGGAAGACGCAAAGAAATCAGAAATTTATATAAATTATCTCGATTAATAACTGAGAAAGCTTCTGATGTACCAATTAGGCACAACGCACAAACAGCAGCATATGTAGGAGCTAAGTGTGGCATTTGATTAGGTCCACCACAAAAACCACCAGTCTCATGTTGACAACTAAAAAAATAAGAAATTTTTATTAGTAAAATGATTAATATTTTTAAAATTTTAAGATAAAATATATACTTTGATAGAAAAGAGACAACATTCGATTTCTCTGTAACTGATAATTCACAGTTTAAGAGAGCAAGTGATTGACATAACCAGTAACATAACCATGGTCGACTAGAGTCAAGACACTCATAATTTTCAGGCAGTACAAACATGTGATTTTTAATGTAAGTCATGTGATTTTGTTTGTACAAAACTGGGGTTTCTGAATTACATTCTGCTTTAGAACAAAACAGTTCAAATAATTTTTCAACTTTTCTTTCTACTTGAATTTGACTAGATGATGTATTTGTTTCAACCGATTCATTATTGAATTTAAGTCGAGATACGGCTAAAAACTTGTTCATTTCTGAAAAAATATAAAGTTGATAAGTTATAAATTGAATATACAATATTAAGATTGTATTGCAAACTATGATAGCTTATATCAAAATTCCACTATGAATATAATATTTTAAACATTTATTATTATACAAAGTTATAACTAAAAAGTTGTACTATTTTGATTACATAATTAAATTTATCACAATTAAAAATTGAAAAAAAAATGTTACTATAAATAGTGTTAAAAAGATTATACTAATTTGACTCAAAAGTATTTTACTACAACTATTTTGTATACAGTGAATGTAAGAGTAACAAAATATTAGTAACATGTTACCTGCAGGTTAAATATATTAACTATGCATGCAATAATGGTTCTATAGACAGACATTATAAGCAGCTACTTGTATCAAATTATTTGAAGAAAGTCTCATTGCTAAATTAAATAACAAAACCCAAATAATCCATTTATAAATATTGTTGTCTACATGTAATTTTAATTCTCTAACCATTATTGTAAATAATAGATTCTTTAATAGTTATTATAGAAATGTAACAATTAAATTAAGATTAAAATTAATACTAAAAAATATACCTAATAAAAACTAGCATAGGACAGCATTTTACTCATACCATTATTAAGATTAGTAGTGTATAAATCCTTCTGGGTAAAAAAATGTAAATATTTTTTTAAATTAAAAAATAAATCATTTATAATAGACATTATAAAATTATTTATTTTACAATTTATGATAAATAAAAAAAATTTTCTTGTAAAACCTTTTTGAACAACTTTCATTTATATTCAATATCAACATTAGATTCATAAAAAAAAGTGAAATCATAAATATTAACTAAAAATAAAAAATAAAACACAACTTAATATGGAATAAATGAAAATTAAAAACCACAGTTTAAGTTTTTACTGTAAAAATATGTATAAGCTGTTAAAATAATATTTAAACAAATTTAAACTAATTAGTTTGTTACTTGAAATTAAAGGTATAAATGTAACTGATGATTTTTGACAAAACTAAACAAAAACTAAAAAAAATTAATTTTTATAATAAAAAGAAAAAATGTATTTTGTTCAAAATGTTAAATCAAAATATTCATCTATCAATAACTCCATATTAATTTCATTAAGATTAATTTCATATTGATTTATGGTTTTAATATTTTATCCATTATCTATAACATACACATTAAACACCTCAATTAAAAATAAAAAATAATTTATAATAGCTATAAAAATTGTGATGCATCATTAAACCAATGTTATTCGGGTTTAAAATATGATATAAAACAAAATATTATGCTTACTAAAGTTATGAAAAGTATTTTGTTTAATCTTCTCTAGAAGCAATATGACATGATTTGTATGATTTTTATGAAAAATTGTTAAAACGTACCTATTTATTTTCTATTAGAAAATAAATTAGCTAAATCTCCGAAAACATAATACTGTTTACTGAATATCAGCTTATTATCACACATATGTATTTTAACTGTGATAACACAATACGTTGCCAAAATAAAAAACAAAAAAATTATTAAATGTCATGAGTGGTTCGTGGACGTTTCGCCCCTGCCGTTTCTTCCCCGTTTATTATTAAGATAGGACATTTGGCCCCCGGGAGTTATATAGATTTATTTATACCTACCCCATAAGACGTTTGGCCCCTGGTTAGGTTAGGTTATTATGTTCTAAATTAGATAACTAAAAAAATAATATAAGTAAGTAAATTAACAAGTTAACAATTTTACAAACACCTTTATTATCTTATGATATTATCGATAGATGTTTTTCTTAATCGAAGGTTTTCTTATCGACAGATGTTATTGCTCGACTATTATTTATTTGTCAGACAGTGGAAACATTTTATTAACTTTTTCTCTTTGTATTGTAAACACTAAATAATATTTTATACCAGCCCAGAGCCATTTTTATTTTACAACAACGAAATTAATAATAATCGTATTATTATCTTCTCTTCAAAAACGTGCCACGAAATTTTATCTGAAACTAAAATTATTTAATGGACAGAACATTTTCTACTTGTCCTTCTGAATTCTACCAAGTATACATATTACATGCAATCATAAATAATTTAATAATTCCTGTGATGTACACTTTGCTTCAACGTAAAAATAAAGACACTTATTGATTTATTGTCTGCTATATAAGATCAATTTGTATCGCTTTCGATAATTTCAATTAATTTCGAACAATCTGTAATACAGGTTATCAAGGAAGTATTTCATGATGAAATATCGGTGCAGTTATGCTATTATCATTTAAACTAGTCCACCTTAAGAAAAGTTAAAGACTTAGGTTTGGCTATAAAATATAAAGAAGACTAGAACTTCAGATCAGCCGTAAAAATGATTCCTGGATCAGAATTTCTTCCAACCAATACTGTAAAAAGAGGTAATTTATAATTTTTTTAAATAATATTTTTGTTACATTTACACATATTTCAGTATTTGGAATTTTTAATAGCGATATCAATACTATTCAATTCTAGAACAGGGGTGGCAAACTTATGGGGCGTGTGCAAAAGATGGCACGTTGACCAAATTTTAATGACATGCACCAAAAATTGAAATTATTAAAAATTGTACACAAAAAAAAAAAATTGTACTATTTGTAAAATGTTGATTATAAGAAATTCAAAGAAACAAATTACAGTGGAGCGTCGATTATCCGCACGTCAATTATTCAAACTACAAAATTTTTGAGTACAAATTTATTTTTAGTTTAATTTAATTTAGTTTTACCATTCGTTATGTTATATCGTGTACTATAATGTTATATTATATATATCTAAATTTTTTATATTATGTATGAATATTATATTTAATATTATATCTAGTAAATTAGTTTTTAACTTTATATTACAATTTTCAATGGTTGTTTGATCATCTGCATAAATTGATTATTCGCACCCCCTTCGGTCCCAATTAGTGCGGATAATCGACGCTCCACTGTATATATGTTTTAAAAATGACATTATTCCTTATACTTTCATATTATTCGTCAACTTATGTTTATGAAAGCTTATTCGCCATAACGAATTTAATTAAATCGAAGGAAAAAAATGTTTTTACCGATGAAACAATTGCTGCTTGGGTTTCACTAAGAATGACTAAAATGTAATAAAAATAATGTAATAAATCTGTAATTTTATTTTTATTCTTAGAAAATATAATTTTCTTTGGGCACGTGAACGATTTTCAATACCATAAATGGAAAAATTTGGTATTTGAACCAAAAAAGGTTCGCCACCCCTGTCCTAGAACATCTAAAGTAAAATGAGGGTCGGCTTAAAGGCAGTTCGAGCTGTGCAGTGGTACAATCCCTCACGCATTGTAAGGCCCCGCGGGCCGCGGTCTGTTGCATAAAAAAATTATCGCATATTAATTTAATACGGATTAAAAACGGATGGGTTTGGCCACCAAAGCACTATTCGTCAAAAACATTTACGTCTTTATCCATTCTCCATAAACGGATAAGTAGGTACCTAATACCTAGTGTGGCATGTGGGCAGTGATGGCTTGACTCATTTATTCGTAGCAGTACCTACAACAGCGGTTCCCAAACTTTTATAATCACGGAACCCTTAAAAAACAGTTTGTGTTTCGTGGAACCCTAATGTCTTTAATTCCAATTCAACTCTTAATTTTTTTAAAAAACAAAAAAATAAAAAACTAATACTCTAAAAAATGTGTTTAATGATACTATTAATATTGTTAATGATTACTTTCTATTAAATTAGCTTAAAACATAATTTTTTTAAATAATATGAAATAATATTTTTTCTAAATATAGTATAAAATAAGTTTCTGAATAATCACATACATTTAGTGGAACCCTTAGCATTGTTCCACGGAACAATATAATAATTTTATAAATTATAAATATTTATAATATATTTCGTCGTGTGTGTATTATTTCTCTCGGATAACGGGAGCTTATGTACACGCATGCAAACACATACAGTGATAGGATGAAAAAAATAACAATTATATATTTTATATAATATACTAGCTGACCCGACAAACGTTGTTTTGTCATGTAAATTATTTCTAGAGAATACTTTGCTAGAAAAAAATAACTAATTTAATATAAGTGTGTAAGGATGTGGTATATGTAAATGGTAAATGGAAGAGGTTAGGTGACGAAATATAAAAATGAAAAAAACATCAAACATTTATTTTTTTAATAACTTATTCAAATTGATCCTTTAAAATTATATATATCGATAATTATGAAAATATTAGTAAAAAACAATATCAATCCCTTAATGCAACAGAGTGTACAATATTTTTTGTTATCCCATTTTTCACCTACACAAACTGGATGGTTTGAGAGCACGCCACGTATAATCCGAGTGAAAAACATGATGTGCTTAAATCTAAGCCACAGACAGACATCCTTTGGCCTTGAGACTTATTAATAGTCATTGCAAATTCAAATAAAAGACGATTCTGATAACAGTGATTAAAATCAATATGAAAAATGTGAATTAAATAGGAACGGTCATATAAAAGCAATTTTATTAATTATTACTACAAGTTAATAGTTCATTATAATTTGTTTAGCGGAGCGTATCCTGGATTATTTTTATGTTACAAATTAATTTTAACTCTGTCAGTTACGCAAGTATCTTGCGTACGTTCATTCTTAAAATTAAAAATATTAAAAATTGCTTTAAGGAATTCATTAACACAGGACCATTTAGAATGTTTCATGCTTATGGCCTTAGAAAAAGATATTTTATCAAATTTTGATAATAAGGATATTATTAATATTATTGTAACAAAGAGTATTTTGCTGCAAAAAATGTTACTTTTTTAATTTTTAAAAATTATATTGTATTTTAATTTTAACAATTTTCCTTCTGTGTAAATAAATTAAAAATAATGTTAAATAATATTAATAAACATCTATACATTATTTTCTAGTTATGTAATTATTTATGTAAATATAATTGAAACATGCTACTTCTTAATGTCAAGCTTAGAATGACACCAATTTTTCAAAATTAAATTTTTCATGATGTATTCTGTATAAAATACCTATAACATGTACAATCAAAATGTTTAAGTCTTCGAAAACTTAAAATCCCAATTACATAGATATAAGTTATAGATGAAAGATGAATAATATAAAATAATTCATCTTTCATCTATAACTAATATCTATGTAATTGGGTTTTTAATTTTCTTAGGTTTCATTAGAAAAAAGAGTTTTGGTATCCCTAACTGCAGTTAGGTTAGTAAACATGTATACGATTTGTAGAATAATTAATGCCACCTTATTAATATTTTTCGGTAAATTTTTTTTTGCCTATCAGCCCCTGCCACTGTATTAATATTTTGTAACATGACATAAACAAATTGTATAACCATAGATAATTCGTAAACAATTATGTGTAACCATTAGGTTATCAGCTTATACACAATATTATTTTTGTTCGTTATAATACTGCATACATCTGTATGCAGGCGACTTCATTGTACACTAGTCAGTAGTCAGTTTATTATTTTTTAAGTAATTATTTTCCAATTTTTTACTGCATAAAGTTCCAAGCCTTGATAATAACTTTTCGGAAATTTATTTCAATTCGAAAATAGTACTTCAAATAATATTGACTTCACCAATAACCACTGCTACAGCAGAAAGGTCGTTTTCTAAATTAAAAATTACAAAAAATTACCTAAGATCGACAATTAATCAAGAAAGATTCACTTCATTATCAGTATTATGAATTGAACATGACATTTCCTAAAGTATAGATTATAATGATAAAGTTTTAGAGTTTACCGAAAAAAAAGAGCAAGAGGATTAATAATTAAATACATAATTTTCCATATTATGAATCATTCATTTTATATTAATAAAATATTTATTTACTTTAACTTTAACGTAATAATTTTGATTCATAGTAAGAATTAAATTAAATTTAGTAATGTTAATAATTGTATTTTGTTCAAATATTTATCCCTAAAAAAAATTGTAATTGCAAAAGCAATTATCACACTAATCTTAGCTTGAACGATTAAGTTGACTAACCGGGCTGGCCCAACCCGGTCCTCAAATAGCCCAGCCTATACTGAAACTGGACTAGGCCGGGCCTTAAAAAAATAATGAAGGCTAGATTGGACTTTCGTTTTTGTAAAAATTTTCAGGCCGGGTCGGGCTGGGCTTTTTTGATAGAACTTTTCGGGCCGAACCGAGTCGGTCTCTCAAAATAATAAAACCAAGGATGGATCGAGCTTTTTTTTGTAAAACTTTTTGGGCCGGGTCGGGCTTAAGAATTTTTACATCTGGCCGCGCTTGGACATTTTATGAATTTTTTTTTGTATGACAAATAATTGTTATTTAAAATAAAAATGATAAATTCTCATTACGACATAGGAATAACCACAAATATTATGTAATTCGTGGAACGTGGGTACTGAGTAATGGGTATAATAAAGTTATTTATATTTAATTCATAAATATGTCATTAATAAATAACAACACTACCAAAATATCTGCCATACTATTAGCGGGGTAGAGGTACTTGTCTATTAAAGCGCGTTCTCATGAGTCAAGTTTAGTTGACCGATTATAGTTGATCAACAAAAATTGAATATAAGTTGAATCAGTTTTTGTTCTCACATTTCAACAGAACATGTTTCAATTTTATTTTGAACTCAGTTGAAAAACCGCGGTCGATACGTAGTTGACACTAACTGTCATGCTTATGATAAAGTTCTAAGAATTTTAGCATCACGCTTTCAGACCATTTGAGGTTCATTTTTAAAATTAAAAATATTTAATGCGTTAAAAATTAAAAAAAAAACACAACTAACAAAATAAAGCATAAAATGCACGTGTGACTGCCCACTGGTTGAAAACAAACTAAAGTTCAACTTGAATCAACTGTAGTGTAAGTCGGCATTTCTCAAATAGTGGGTCGCGATCCACTACCGAGCCACGAAAATATAATACCGGGTCGCAGAATTTAATAAAATTCTCATATTAAATTTCTTATTCATCATTTCGTTTGATAATTTGAACTTTTTAGTGAAAATAAATGATAATTACTGAGATTATCAACTAGTATACAGTAACAAATGAACGCTTCGATTTTGTTATAAAATCCTATGTGGACATTCAAATGTGTTTTACACAATGATAAATGTAAAATATTTTGGTGGGACACGAAGGGGAAAAATATTAATTACCGGGCCGACCTAAACAAGAATTTGGGAAACGCTGGTGTAGGTTGTTCTCACATGTCAAGACGGGTTTCATCTTGAATGGAATTGAAAAACAACTCGTTACTTGAACGATAAAGTTTGACTGGGTAAAAATTTTTTTGATCAACTAATTAGTTGTTCAATTTTATTGAAACAAAGGTTCTCACTACAGATTTTATTCAATTTTTGTTGATCAACTATAATCGGTCAACTAAACTTGACTCATGAGAACGCGCCTTTAGCTAGCTTATTATTTCTATGGTATCATAATAACAAGTACCAATATAAAATAGAAACGGTAATTTGAAGTATTTAAAGAAAATCCATTGTGTTTGACTATGGAGATTGTTAATACTAATTTAGGATACTATACTATAGCTGGTTTCAACTGCCTAGTTTTAATGTTCTATGTTAATGTACCATTGAACATATTTTGCGTACCTACATTTGTTTGTTTAAATCAAAATTATAAGGTAAGTTTTTTAATTTTATCTACGTATTTAATTAATATTTGTATTTTTTTTACTTTACTAATTTATCAGTATTTATTATGGTAATAACATTAAAGAAAAAAACTGTTGAGGCACCTATTGCTTTTTAAAATATTCAATATACATGCAGTTTTTTCACCTTTCTAAAAAACAATAATAATCAATTTATTGTTTTAATTATTTGTTAAAAGAATTACTTAGGTAGTAGGTATCACAACAATTTGTTTTTAAGATTATTATGAATGGGTGATTGAATAATATTGATAAATAATAAACAGTGACTGCTTTTAAATATTATTTTTTTATTTGATTACCTATATTATAATTTTTAGAAATATTTTATTATTATATTATATTTATTACTCAATTTAAAGTATAGGTACCTTCTTAACACTTTATACTATGTATCTATTTAACACTATTGCACAGCGCCCAATGTCCACATACGTTTTTAAATCCAAACATTGAATTTAACTCTTACCTAGTACTTACTACCGACTACCATTGATTAAATATACATGTATATTTAATCAATGCTACTACTTAGTCTAACATTTATAAGAAATATAGGTTTTAATAAGTATTAAAAATTGTAATTCATTCATTCAGGATAAAAGTTGACATATTATTTCCAATTTAAATGTGTTACCGACTTTTTATTTTAATTTTTAAACATTTTTGATCATCTCTATATGTACTTTGTGTGGTTACTGGTTATTTTTCATATTGAGTGTTTGGTTTTTAATAAGAAATTTTAAGTACTTTCTGTTTGATTTAGTTTGTTTTTATCAAACTCCAGTGGCATCATTTGATAATGTTTAGGGAGGGGTGGATCACATTTTTGTACATGAACAATTATTACTCGCACATTTTTATTATTTAGTTATTAGTTAAATATGATGTTCTAGGGCTAAAAATATATCTCAGACAGAACCAAATTTTTTTAATAGCTAGGAATTATTTTCGGTCCGGGCATGGTCTTTTTTTACAAAATATTTTGGACTGAACTGCACCGGGCTTTTTTTATTAAAAAATATTTTGGACCTGCTTGGACCGGGCTTATAAAAAGTATCTTTGAATCAGAACGGGCTTTTTAAGAGCTTTTGATAATTTTCTAGCCGAGTTTGGGCTTTTTTCATAAACATTTTTCGGACTGATCGGACCGGGCTTTGGAAAAATATGTTAAACCGGGCTGGGCCGTAAATTTATGGCCCTTGCAGGTCTTTAGTGGCTACCACCACTATCGACCTTAACGCTATCTAGTCGACGTATTAGTCTGCCAGTCAGGTGTTGCACTATAGTAAACACTGTAATACGGCACGTATCGCATGTTATTTTACTGTTGTGTAAACTGTCCGTTCGTCCAACCGTCTCCGTCGGTCAACCTATTCGATATTTGAATGTTACGATTATCGTTATATTAATGTCGCTCGTTTTTGTGTTTGTTGTATACGATCAACGTCTATGAGTTTTGATTTCATGCGGTTAATGCTGAAATTAAAAAAGTTAAGTTAAACGGAATTTTTGACGTCAAACCGACGTATGAGTGCATTCGCCGTAAACACCGGAAAGTCTCTGTAGCCACTGAAGATCGTTGGGAAACGGTAAAGTTACATTTTGTTATTATCAATTTTCCATTATCATTGTTTACTAACGCGAATTCAGCCACGGACTGTCGTTATTGTTATGGTACTCAACATATTTTGAAAAGCAAATTTTATGATTTGTTTTTTTAAATTGATTTTTTTGTTAAAATGTACGATAAATTCCTCTGGATTTTTTTGGCGTTCACCGGGTATGTACGTTCGGAATCGTACAGCGAAGAATTGTTCATCAAGCCCTTGGCCACGGGCTACGTGTATTCGTTCTTCCAGTTCACCATTGTCCGCGAAGACAATGCGTTTAGACATTCCAGCTTATTTCCGCACTCATTGGGTGATATAATAAACAGGTTTCACGTCGACGAACTCAATGTCGACCTTACGTCTGGTTTGTGGAGACATAAGTCTTGGGGTTATCCAGCAGTCGACGCCCCGTCCGGAGCTGAAATATCCGCTCGTTTCCATAACGATACAATAGATGTGAACAAGAACTGGTACGGCTTGACTAATGCACTATCCGGTTTGCTTTGCACATCGTTGAATTTCATAAACAGTGCAAATAGCTATGAATCATCTGCTGACAGAGTATATCGATATTCAAATTTACCGAGAGAAAATGTTTGCACTGAAAATTTAACCCCGTGGAAGAAACTTCTGCCTTGTGATTCTACTCGAGGCTTATCGAGCTTATTAAATTCTGGTCATGTGCACAATGCCAATTACCATTCTTTGGGAATTCATTTTAGGCCATTATGCAATGCAGGAAAATGTAAATATGAATTGCGCCAAACTGTTTCATTGGTATATGATTCAACATTTATAAGTTTAAATAATAATTACGATTGGTCTCTTCGCAAGATGTTTGGTACTGGATTGTTCAAAACATGCCCTCTTGCGGATTTCAGTAAATTATATATAGATACATCTTCAAATAGCAGTGTTCCTTATTTGTTGTCACAGGAACCAGATTATTTTTTAAAAGATAATATTGCTGTTTATAATTTAATCAGCATTTTTCATTTATCAGCTGTAGTGCCAAGACCAAAAATAGCAGTTTCTGAATTACGGCCATTGTTGTATACTGACAGATTTATTACAGGATTTGGACAGGAATATGGAGGGTTAGTGACTCGTATATACAATGAACATAGATTACCTGTAACTGCAAAAGTTATTGAAAATATCCCATGGTTTTTACCAATTTATTATCATACTCTAATAGTGTCCAGCAATGGTGTTCGTGTAAATCCTAAAGCTTTAATATATAAACCTGGTAAAGGAAGAATACGAATTTACTATTTAGAAATAGTATTAGAGCTTGCACCACGTTCAGTTACTGAAATATCTGTACAGTTTGACTATGTGTTTTTGAAATGGCAAGAATATCCACCTGATGCAAATCATGGTTTTTACATTGGTTCTGCTATAGTTGAAGTCACAATTCCAAGACATGCTACTTCTTTAACCTTTGACAAATCATTTATAGCTGATAATCTAAATTCATCAGAAGCTGATTATTTAATTTGTTTAAAAACTGAGAATTTCATTATTACATTACCAACACCTGATTTCAGTATGCCTTATAATGTTATATGCTTAGCCTGTACTGTAGTAGCATTAGCTTTTGGCCCTATTCATAATATTACAACTAAAAGACTAAAGTTAACTACAGCAAAGTATGTTCCTGGATTGGCATCTATTCTTCAAAAATTATATATGTGGGTAGAAAATATTGCGCTGAGTAAAAAGATAAATAAAGTGGGAAATTCAGCAGCAGTTAAAGTTTATGCTCCTGAAGAATTGAGTTATCACCCCACATTGGGCCATGTGTCTGAAGAGTTCATGAACAACCAAGTGGTTTGTAAAGAATCATAATTGCATAATTAATCTTTGATACTATTTTTATGATTAACTTAAATATTATATTACCATTATTATTTATTTATTATGTTTTAAATTAATTTGATGTAAATATTTTATTTTGTTTGTGATATTGTTTGGTAGTTAAATACATTTGCAAACATTATGTCATATTTTGTTAAACAATGTAATAAATTTGAATGTTTAAATTAAATAAATCTTGAATTTGTATATTTATAATTATCTAGGATTTAATATATGGTATATAACTTTTTTTTTTTTGTTTTATATGAACCATTAAGTTAGGGTGGTCAGATAAAATGAAAAAAAAAACCGAGACAATAAATTCTAATTTAATCTAATCGTCCTGCCTAACCATAACTACTTAACATAACTAATATTTTTATTTTAAAATTTTTTACTTATGAGTTATATTATTTGAGTTAGTGATATTAACTAATCACTATGAAATCAGTTGATAAATTACAGAAAAATTGTATATATATTTATGTTGGTTATAATTTGCTTTTGTTTTAATTTTATTCAATAAATTTGATTTATTGTATAAACAGATTTTTGTTATTGATATTTTACTAAGAGTAAATATTTTATAATTTGTTTTTTGTCTGTTTTAGTATATAAGTTACACTAAGAAATGGCCACTCTTGAAACATTGATGTTGAACAAAATTATTATGCAAATGAAAAGGTTTAATATTAATGAAATCCAACATTTATTAAGAATCTTACCCTTGAACCTGGAATGGAATGAAATTACCAATTTAGTGACTGAATTACGCCTGCGTTTAACTGTTGCAAATGTTGTATCTATTATTCATTATTATTTGAAAGAAATGGAATCAATTGAAGCAACCTATTATCGAGTATTACTAGCTGATGCTATCTACCATCAAAGAAGCCTGTGGTGGACAGTAACTATTGATAAAGTAAATAAACGTTTTTTGGATAAAAGAATAATTCAAAAAAATATTCAATTCATGTTGGTTAAAATGAGTATTGAAGCAATCACATATGTAATGGAATCAAATAAATTGTTTTGGATTTTAATAAACATAAATGAAACCAAGGAGAAAAAAACCACCTTGAAATTGAACAATCCCTATTTTTTCACCATAGCCCCAGGAAAAGTATGCCATATTTTCCACAGACCTCGCAATATTGATAATAGACTAATGAAAATTGTTTCTAAGGCAGTTGGGGCTAGTAAGTTTAAGCTTTATGCACTGTCTGGGAAAGATCTATACTCTATGAAACATTTTATGGAAGACAAAAACAAAGAAAATAACAAAGGCAATGTGCAGACATTACTCAACAGCGACAAGGAAGAGGATGTTAAAGAGTATGTTCAGAAATTGTTTGGGAATAATAGTCGAATTCTTAATAAATTCACTATAAATATCAATATTGATTTAACAAAGTTTAATCAAATCAATTCTGAAGAAAATATAAGTAATACTCAAATACAGTTGAAAGGTGATAGTATAATAGATGGCATTAAAGAGATGATGTTACTAGGTGTGATGCAACCTCCGTATCCTGATTGGGTTACTAGATTACCATATCTAGGTAAGAATAGTGTTAACATTAATTTAGAGCCATAACTTAGATGTACATTTGTCTAGATGTTTGTATATTTTTTTGTAAAATTAAAATTATTTTATTATGTTCTTAGCAATTAAAAATTTATAATTTAAATTATAGTTTTTGTAATATTGTACAGAGAGCTGTTTAAAACCTAATAATTTGATATGTATGTGTAACTTGTGTGTATTGTGGAGAATATACAATATTGTAAAACTTATTGGTACTATAATTTGTATCTGTTATATAATGTATATTATTATCAATATAATTTAGTGTTATCTTTGACAACAGTGTTTTCATCAGTTACAGTATTTAAAAATAGTGAAAATAGTAAGTTTTTTTTTGAAAATAGTTAGCTAAAGTGAATTACATCCTATTAGGATAAAATAACAAATGATATTGGCTCACATTTTTAGGTAACACCACTTTTTTTTTCCTGCTGTACGTTTTTCTTCTTTTAAATTTCTTATACTTACTGTATGCAAATTTTGCTTCAGTAAAAGTTCTCTAGTGATTGGAATTAGTTCAGCCTTTCCACTATAAGCTCCTAGAGCACTTTTTATATTAAGTTCCACTTTTAGGAATATCTCAAAAAAAAAATTGCTTCAATGCCGGCTATTGCTCTTGAAGTCTTTTTGTAGCAGTAGACAGAGTTAGCCATCTAGAAGTAATGTGTTTTACAAAATAATGCTATGTTACGTTGACTTTAATATTTGCATCCGAAAAAGCTCCTTGACGACATTAAAAAATGTATTCATAGTTATAACTATATCACCAAAATTAGCTCCAAATGATTCTAACCCCTTATGAAAGGTATTATGTACAATGTGCAAATTACATCAGCTAAAATAAAACATCACCTGTAGCTTTCCCAATAAAAAAAGTTTCTAGATGTTTGAATTCAATTTTTTCCTTATGTTCGGACCATTATTGAATAGAAACTTGCAACCCTTTAAAATTAGCAGAGTTGATTGTCTCATTGAAATGAAATGAATAATAATCATTATTTTATTCATTAATTTCATATTATTATTATTATTTGTATCAACAGTATATGTAGTTCTTCTGTTGTTTTTATTGTTACATTTAAATATTTCACTATTTAATCCTTAAGCTATATATATTATCATGTATCAATCTGTAATTGTTGAACTATAATAGTTTGTACTGAAAGTTCTTAAATAAAAAAAAAAAAGTAGGTACTATAATTTGAAATAAATTTTTATTTGGTAGTAAAATATTATTAAAAAATATATTATTTAATTAACAATAATAAATAATATTAAAAAAGCAGTATAAATTAAAAATATTTTGTACATTATAGGTATATTATAAAATCTATAAACTTTGTATATTGAAGATAATGGGAAATTAAAATAGGTACACTATATACTATTAAACCATTGAATAAGTAGAAATTTCAATGGGGGACCAGACCCGAAAACCCCCACTTGGGTACGCTTCTGTAATGAAAGGTAAATTATTTTTAAGTTTGTATTGAAAAATTAGTTTCAAAGTTAAACATTTTATATATCTAGAGCTTATTATTTATTATACACTCTATACTCGGTCATTATTTTAAGAGTATTAATTACTAAACAATATTTGTTAATTTTTTCATATTTCAAACTGTGTAATTTTATGTTCCCAAGACAGATTGAATAATAAATGTATCTCAGAACCAGACTAACGTAAATCCAAAAATAACAATGTATTAATTATGTATTAAGTGGATTTACATTAGTTTGGCTAAAACATAAATTATGACTTATGACCGGTAAAATAATGAAAGGAGTATTTTTAATAGATTCCCGTTATTATGGCTCAACAAAAACCATATTACATACAATGTTTCTGAAAATCATTATATTTGGATTTCCGTTCGTCTGATTTTGAGGTACAAATATAATCTTTTATAGTTGATTAATTGATTATTTTGTACCTCAGGCACGTTAAAAATATATTTGTATTAAAAGTATAACTAAAATGTCATATCTAAAATAATGCAAGGTCAATAAGATAAAACTGTACATTATTTATAACAATTATTTTTATTATTTATTATTCAAGTCATATTTAGCTTTTTATTACAAAAATAATCTATACATTTGTCCATAAAAAAATATATACGAAACTTACAATATATATGTATAACTCAAATACTAACGTAACAATAAATCAACTCAATTATAAATAAGGTTTTATAAATAAACAAATATAAATATATATATATATATATATATATATATATATATACACACACATAACTTATATAATATATTATAAAGTAATTTTGAGAGGAAACAAAGTTTGTTGAGTTCACGTACAACTATTTAGATAAATTAACAAGAGTCTACCAATTTGTAGTGCTAATCATTGTTCTATCAAAATTTAATTCCAAACAAATTCTAACGGTTAAAAAATTCATCCTTATCAATGTCATATGAGACAAAAACAATGTAAAACCGATATAATATATGTACGTGTATAGTACCATATGATATATATATATATATATAAATATATAATAATTACATATGTTATTCGTATATTTTAGTAATTCGATTGTATGGTTTAGAAAAATAATACAATTAATCAAGAAAAAATTTAGTTTTTTAGGCACTTTTGGTGAAGAGTTAATTGTTAATTTATATACAATTTATTGTTACGAGGACAAAAAAAAATTAGACATGGTAATTTAATAAATACTAAAATGATATATAGACTAAGAGCTAAATAGGATTTTTTGAATTTTTTATATTGGAATGGCACAGTATTGCGGAACTTTAATATAAAATGTTGACTTTTATTAATATATAATTTTTAATAATGAACACAATATGTTTTTGTATATTTTGAAAAAAAGTAGTCACAAAAACAAAAATAATTATACTTATTGCCCAAGCCCTCGTTCAGTCGTTAAAGAAAAAAATAAAATTACGATCAACCTTCTATTAGTAGCACCAGATTATTAGCACTGGTTACGTAATTATTATTATATATAAGGACTAGGTCTAATAGTTGCAGTTTAAGGTTGTACCAATCCAATGGCTGTAAAATAATGATAAAACACAGGCGGCGGATATGGTAAGAGATCATTTTTCCGATGGGAGATGAAAAAAATAATCATATTTATGATTTATAAAAATATTTTTACGCACTGGACAATGGTTATTCATTTGTTTATAATGAACACTTTAATTCTATGGTCAAAATAATAACTAAAAAAAAAAAAAAAAATTTGTAGAAAAAAGTTGTCAAACTATCACAGTAAATTTTTTTTTACATACTCAAATAGTTAAACATTGAGAAAGGCATTCAGTCTTCCCATTTTAAATGGGACAAAATAATCAAAATAATTCTATACAATATGAACAAAATAAAAATTATTCTTAATACTCAGAAAAATCAACTTTGACGATATTCGTCTAATGGAATGTTAAATGTTATTTAATCTCTCATACAGCTGTAGACATTGGCATATCTGGATCTTCAATTTCACAAACATTAGTAGAAAGTTCACTCTGACTTGGATATCGCTGTGGGAAACCATATGTAACGACGTCATCGTCTTCACTACGATATGATAAGTACAACTCTTCATCAAGTGTTTCCAAATCTCTTGCAGGATCTACCAAAGACAATTAAGGATTATGATACATATATATTATGATAAATTTACAAAAATAAGAGCTTACCAATTATGTGATGGTGTACTTCATCATTGCTTTCACTGTGGAAACTGGATGAATCGGGTACTTCGCTACCAGGAACTTCACTGATATTGGGCAATGGATTTTGGCTACGACGCACCCAATCTGAACAGTCCCAATGGTAACCACCTAATATTTTAGTGTCTTCTTCTGAACAATGCATAGACCTCCTTGGAACTCTGGTAACATCCGGGATTGCTTTGAGGTCTGTGAAAAAAGTAATTTTTCATCATGTGATAAATATAATATTGACTGATGTCAATCAAAATGATATAGGTTTCTCTAAATATTGAATACATATTTTGATATTATTTTTGTATCATAACTTCCTAACCTTTACCATTCATTATTTTGTTGTTACTTCCTCGATTTAAATTGCGCAAATAATCAAGTGGAACATTTTCCAGTTCATCACCAGCTGAACCGTAGCTTCGTAAAGTGTCTAAGTTGTTGAGTTGATTTGAAGCCACAGCTGCCATGTAAGCTGCATCTGGGTTGCTGGCTATAGCTGTGTAAGAAACTGGTCGCTAAAATATTAAAATTAAAATTAAAATGACACAAAAAAACAATAATAATAAAATGTTTAGACATACCTGAGCTACTTCTAAGTTGCTGATTTTAGCAGTCCTCTTAAACTCTGTATTCAATACATTTATGTTTTTGTTTCGACGAGCATTTTGACGTTTTACTCGACACTTTCTAAAAAAAAAAAAACAATGAAATGGGGTTATTATTTATTAGTTGGGTAATCAAATATTATAAAAATATAGTATTTACCTGCATATGATTAACATGCATATGACCATGATGATAAAAACTAAAGCAGCTGACGCAGCAGTCATTTGTATCCAAGTTATGTGTAAATTAGAAAACATTGGAGGCCAACAGGCAATCTCATTACCAACTAAACAACGATCTCCAACACCTCTTGGCTTGTCACACTTATAAGTACCATCAATTTCATTATCTGGCACACATATTTCATCCACAGAGCACAAACATTCTGTAGTCATTTTATTTTCACATTGTTTACCAACAAAGCCTAGTCGACAAGCACAATGTGGTTGGTGGGTATGAGCAGGTGCCACAAATGTCACCATTTCAGTTACTATTGTCTGCACTTGATCTGGCAACCAAGTAATGCGTTGACTACACACACCTTGCCCAGGTGTACAATTACAAGGGGGTACATTGTTTGATATAACTAAACCGGCCTTTTGAAGAGCAGCATGCATAGTATTTAAATCTATTCCCTAGAAAATTAAGTTCATTAGACGATATAGTTTTTGATTTAAATTTAATTATTTTGAACTTACCCCTCTGACAAAGAGTAATATATCTAGATTTCCTTGTGGAGCATCTTGGAGACTGATCAAATTTACATCCTTGCCCAAATTCATTTTTAATGTACGCATTAAAAGTTTCTTTTGACTAGATATGAAATGTTGTGGTGTGACAGACTTTAATCTATAAAATATTATGGATGTTAGTAGTGTAGGCACAAATAACACATAGTGTTATAATACTTAAAATGTATAAACATAACATTTCTATTAATTTACACATGTTGATATACCTTATACTTATTGCTTCATTTAACATTTCATCGGTCAGCGAGTCTACAGCAACATTAACAGTAGAGTATGATGAAAATTTACCATCACTAACTGATACATTAATTGAATAAAAGCCGGCATCCAGTCCTTGTGGTGCTCTTATTTCTCCTGATCGTTCTTCAATTTTGAATAGTTCTTTGTGATTTACATTCTTTATATAATATGCTAATGTATCATATTCATCTTGATCAGTGGCATGTATATGCCCTAATGATCCTCCTTCCCAACGATCTTGCCAAGATCCTACCCAGACTTCAAGAGGTGTTATAATAGGTGGGAATTGTGATTCTTCAATTACCTAAATAGAGAAAAAAAAGTAGTGTTGAAAGACTTTTTAAATATTGTGTATGCATAAATTATAAATTACATAAAAAATGTTAAAAAAGTTAATTTGATAACTAAAACAAATTTAATGATACAAATTGAATTCAACACAAAGTATACTAAGATTTATGTACCTTAATATGGAGCCACGTATCAGAATGTAGGAATGGTTTTCCATTGTCGAACACACGTATTTCTAGTTTAAAATTCTGTTGAAAACGATGGTCTAAATGCGTAGCTGTTCTTACTGTGCCATCAGGATCAATGCTAAATGCATTTCCATCATCACTGTTACGTATATCATACGTGAAAGGCCCACCATTTGGTTCTAAATCGGCATCTGTCACAGAAAGTTGGCAAACAATCCAACCAGGTTTTTTGTCCTCCTAAAAGGTTAATACAACAGTATTTAAGCTATATAGTTATAACATAGTAAATATTACTTACGTGTACAAATGCTGAATAATTGTGCTGTGAAAAAAGTGGTGGGTTGTCATTAACATCATTAACTTGCACTTGTACTAACGCAAAACTCATAAGTTCAGGAATACCAGAATCAGTAGCACGAATTTGTAAATTATAAGTTGATACCTAGAAAATATAAGTAAAGTATTAAAATTTTATTATTTCATAAATAATTAGCAAAGAAAAATATACTAAAAAAAATGCCACTGTCACCTGTTCACGATCCAAAGGTTTAGCAACAGTTATATTGCCTGTGAAAGGATCAATGGAGAATTGCTGATGATGATCTCCTTTTACCAGAGCATAACGTATTTTGCCATTTAGCTCACTGTCCAAATCAGTAGCCAAAACTTTAATAACAACTTCACCTATATGTGCATCTTCACTAATTTGAGTAGTATAAGCTAATTGACTAAAAATGGGTGCGTTATCATTGGCATCCAAAATTGAAATGTTCACCATGGCCTGGTTGCTTAACGGAGGTTCACCTAGATCTGTTGCTTGTATTGTCAGTAAGTAGTCACGCACTCGTTCATAGTCAAGCATTTCGAATACACTTATTACACCAGTCTCAGGGTTTATTGAGAATTTATTGTGTTCATTACCACCAGCAATTGAATACATAACTTCAGCATTTTTACCAGAGTCTAATGATGTAGCCAGCACTCTGGTCACCTCGGTATCAATAGGAGCAATTTCAGAAACGGTAGCATAGTATGTTCTGAAATCATAATTAGTTTTTTGTAGTTAATAAATAATATATACATAAAATCATAACAATTGAATGATTTATTTTACCTTTGGACAAATATTGGTGGATTGTCATTGACATCTAATACGATTACATTTAGTTGAGTAGTACTTGAAAGTGGTGGAGAACCATGGTCCATTGCTTTGACAGTTAAGTTATAGGTTTCACAAGTCTCACGGTCCAGTTTTTTAGCAAGTGTTACAATTCCACTATCAGATGATATAATAAAATGATTGTCAGCTGAATCTTGTAATGAATATTTAAGTTTTCGGTTTAGACCTAAAATAATTATAGATATACATTACAACATTGTTACATTTATATTCATATATTTTTCTAATTTTAGTATACCAATGTCAGAGTCAGTTGCATGTATCTTGATCACAATGGTGCCAATTTGTGCGTCTTCTGATAATGAGGCAGTATTATTATTATTAGAAACAAATACTGGTGCATTATCATTGATGTCTAACATGGTAATTTCTACTTTGGACACACATTCCCATTCATTTTTTTCTCGGTCTTGAACGTGTGCTTCTAAGTTATACCGTGCATAATGTTCTCGGTCTAAAGACACTGCCGTTTTCAATAATCCTTTAAAAATAAACAATAATAAATGGCTTAATAATTAATAACTGTACATTAACTGAATTTGAACGAAGAAAATATTACCACTATCAATATCTAAAGTAAAATGTTCTGCTCCATGCCCAGTTAAGTAATATCGCAGTTTTGGATTTAAATCTGCATCACGAGCTTCAATTTTTAATATTACATTGCCAATTGGTGCTCCTTCTGAGAGTGTTCTTCTGTAGCGGTGACGAAGGCAATAAGGTTTTTCATCTGATAATTAGATGATACAATAAATTAAGTTTTAAATGGGTGGGAAGGGGTTATTATAATATACCATTAACATCAGTGACGATGATATTAAGTCGTGCAGTTGACACATATTTTCCATCAGTAACTATTATTGTGAGTTGATAATTATCTAATGACTCCCGATCTAATGTGTTAGCAACATACACTTCACCAGTTGACCGTATAGCAAATTTTGAGTGCATATCCCCATCACGAATGTGATACATTAATGTAGTTGGTAATTCATTGTCATTATCTACTAATGTCAATTGAACAACAACTGTTCCAGGCAATGAATCTTCTTCAACTAATAATAAAAATTGACAATTATATTTGTCAATATAACTGTGTTTATTTCTTTGACTGAAAAAAATGTATTACCTGATGCTGAATATACAGCTTGAGAAAAACGTGATGGATTGTCATTATAGTCAACTAAAGATATGTGTATCTTAACAGTAGAGTTCAGCGATGGTGTTCCACTGTCCAAGGCTACTACATCAAATATATACAAGGATTTTACTTCTCGGTCTAAATTGGACGCAGAAACACTAATTGATCCAGAGTACTGATCAATTACAAATGGCACAATGGATTTGGAATTGATTAAATACTTGACTTCACCATTTTTCCCTTCATCCAAATCGATTGCACGTGCTATATACATACATAATAAATAAATTATAATAAAAATAAATACAAACTAATATTGCATTACTTTTCACCACTGGGGTCCCTTCAATAATGGTTTCTGATATTTTAGCACTGTACATGTCATTGTCAAACTCTGGAGCATTATCATTTTCATCCAATACTTTTACATAGACTTCAGTTAAGGCAGTTAATGGAGGAGATGATTCAGTAAATGCAAATACACCAAGTATATGGAATGCTTGTTTTTCTCTATCTAATAAACCAGTGGTGGATATTTGACCTTTATCATTGATTGTAAACAGTTTAGTAGATTCTTCAGAAGCAGTGATTTTATATTTAGTTTCCACATCCGATACTAATTTCACGGTTGTCACAATTGTACCTGTCAAATTTAAAATATATGTTTATATAAAGTTATTAAGATTTACTCAAATCAAACAATACCAATAGGAGCATTTTCAGTTAAATTAAACTTTTGATCTTCTTGCAGAAATACAGGAGGAAGATCTTCAGATGATAACACAAATAGTTCAATAGGAACATCTGATTGTCTTGGTGGTGTTCCACTATCTGTTGCACGTATAAAAAATTGGTACACATTGTTTTCTATAAAATACAATTTAATCGATTAATGAGTTGACTAAAACTTCAATCGATTTAATTTCTCACTTAAGGATTCAACTGTTTTTAATAGAACAAGAGCTCCTGTATATTTGTTTACAGTCATTAGGTCTGTAATGTCACTGGGTTCAATATCATTAATCGAATAAGTTATTTGACCAGAAGGTTCTTGGTCGTCATCAACTGCTTTTACCTATTAATAAAATTTAAAATAAGTATATGATTTTTAAATGAGGAAAAAATTAATTATTATTTTACAGTAAGAAATCCTGTGTTGACTGGCAGGGAATTGTGTATACAAGTTTTGTATTCTGGCAAAAGGAACCGTGGTGAATTATCGTTTTCATCACTCACTCGAATTCGAACCAAAACAAACCCACATCTAGCTCCTTGGTCGCAAGCCAAAACATTGATTTCATAAAGTGATGTCTCTTCACGGTCCAACGACATTTTTGACACAATTTCTCCTATAAAATTTATGATAATATAATATAATATAATATATATATATATATATATATATAATTTTTAACTATTCACTTTACATACCAGTAATATTATTGATACTAAATATCTTTGACATCTTTTTTGATGGTATTGAGTAGCTCACTTCACCATATGGACCTGTATCATTATCTATTGCTTGTACACGAATGATTTCGGTTCCTGATATTTGATTTTCTAGAATGCGACCATCATAATGGGATTTTTCAAACACTGGACTATGTCTGTTAGATGACACCATTTCAATTCTAACTCTAGAAAAGCTGGTATACACTCCATCGCTGACCGACACATTGAGTACATGTTCATTTACAGTTGTTAACTTGTTTAAGTTTGAAACAATTATGATGCCTAAATTGATAAGATTATTATTATTATTAATATATAGATAGTAATTTATTATTTCACTCTTACCAGACTTTGAGTTAATATCAAACATTTGTTGAGTATTTCCTCCGGTTATGCCATATATAAGACGTGAATGATCAACCATATCTGGATCAGTAGCAGTTACCATAGTAACAAATTGACCTCTTTCAGCATCTTCAGATAACCAACATGAGTATGAGGATTGTTCAAATTTTGGTGCATTATCATTAACATCCATAACTGTAAACAATTATTTTTTCACAATTCAATTAGTTGATTAATAAAATATAATATACTATGATTTTACCAGTTATCCAAAGATGAGTAGTGGTACTCAAAGGTGGCAGTCCAGAATCAGATGCTTCTAAAACAATGTGATGGAATGGTCGCGTTTCATGGTCTAATGCTTGTTTCAAATAAATAGAACCTTCTTTTTCATCTATGTGAAAGTAATCAGTAGAATTTTCTTCATCTTTTCGGATTGAATATTTAATTAAACGGTTTATATCTGAATCAAAAAATGTAAATACTTATATAAAAATAATATACATCAAACATTTATACTTCAATTTGCTTACCGGTATCATTGTCGGTGGCTGTAACTTTTAATATAAATGAACCAAATGATGCAGATTCTGATATAGAGATATTATATGAGTCTAGCATGAATTCTGGGGCACAATCATTTACATCTGTTACTATAATACTGACTAACACGTCTGCTGATACTCCAGATACACTGTCAGTAGCTCTAATGGTCAATGTGTAATGTTGCACTTGTTCATAATCCAAATTGTCCACAGCATATAATAAACCTATTTATATGTCATTAGAGTTAATTAACTACTAGTTAAATAATAATTCCAACATAATTCATGCGACACATATATAAAACTATAAGTATTCAGTCAATTTATTTTCAGATTTTTTTATTTTTAATAAGCAAACCAAAGTTAAACTCCAAATTTGATATTGAAGTTAACATGTCACAATGTCACAAAGATAAATCTCATTACAAATTTTTAAAAAGAAAAAACCAAAAAACAAATATTCATTAAGCATTTGAGGAAACTTGGACAAATCAGTCAATGATATTTTAAGTTCAATAAGCTGCCTAGAAAGGTTAGTTTTGAGCATAAGTAAGCTTTTTAAAAAGTTATTAATTATACCCCTGATGTCCAAATTCTAACTCTAGTATCTAGCAATATTCCGAAAAAAAGCACAAAACACACACAATACAATAACTAATGTGTACTCACTAGTACCACCGTAATCATCAGCTGTTGAGAGCACCAAGAAAATAAAAATAAATAGTGTTATATAGATGTGTAAATAATAACTATAAATACAAGAATTGACTATCTTTCACCATTAAGCTTGAGATAATAAATGAAGAGTGATTATTTTTTTTACTAGAAGAAAAATAGCTAATTACAAAACTAACCGGTGTTGAAATCTATAGCAAATTCTTCAAATGTGTTCCCTGCTACAATACTGTAAATCAATTTCCTGGCTAGTGGAGAGTCAGCTCTAATAGATAATGGTATAGGAGCATAAAGTTCAATATTTTCTGGTACAGATACAGAGTAAAATTGTTTATCAAAAACAGGCATTGATCGATCCATGACTTTAACATTAACTTCAACTTCAGTTGAGTATGATTGCAGACCTAAAATAGTTTTTGTAAATTAAAAAGTTTATCGATTAATTAAATATTAGTTATCTGTGTACACTACCTCCATCAAAAGCAGCAACAATCAATTTGAATTCATTTACTCGGCCATTGTTTTGACTTTCTAAATTGTGTCGCAAAAACACTTCTCCAGTACTTCTAGATACTTTAAACAGTTCACCAGGTCCTTTAAATAGTTCATACCGTACAGCAGCATTTTCACCCTGGTCCAAATCAATAGCATGCACCTAATTTACAAGATAAATGAAAATTAATACATTTCAAAAAATATTTTATAAAAATATTTCATTACTTTTGTAACAAGGTCATCTTTTTTGGCATCAATAGATACAATGGCATAATAAGGTAAGTTTACAAACATTGGTGCATTGTCATTAACATCTAAAACAGTCACATTAACTGGAACATGAGCAACTCTCAATGTATCACTCTCAGCATCCATGCTTTGGACCTTAAAATTCATGAAGAATAAATGTTAATATTGTGAATGATAACAATTTAACATTGAATATTACATACTTGTACAATAATTTGATAGACTTCTTTGACTTCACGATCAAAAGCTATTCCAGTTGTGCTTAGTATCCCTGTAGTTGAACCTATCTGAAAATATCTGGTTGGGTTCAAAATAGAGAACAGTAAATGTTCATTGAGATGTGCTCCAATAACAGTGACTGCACATAGAAATCTAACTTTAGTATCATTTTCCATGACTGTAGCATAATAAATAGGTTTTTGGAACTTAAGACTGGAATCTTCACTTCGATACCAGTGAACATTGACATTTCTAAAAAAAAAAAAAAATACATCATTTAATTTCACTAATGATATATTGGTGTATTTAAAAATATTACGATTGACTGGAATATTTGCCGTCAGTTACAGAAACAGCCAAATTGTGAGGACTAGATTTGATGCCTAAATTTGGATCCCTAACTGTTATAAGCCCTCTTTCAGCATCGATTTTGTAAACATTTGCATCATTCCCACCAATGATTGAGTATATTAATTTTGTTTGCTCTTCTGAATCTCCATCAGTAGCATTTAGTTGAACAACAGCAACATTGATGTATGTTGGCACTAACACGGATGCATTATATTCAAAGTTTGTAAACACCGGTGGACAATCGTTCACATCTAAAATTGAAATAAACACTTTGGCTAGTACATCAGATGTCCGTCTTGGGTTCCCTTGATCAATAACTCTGACGTGAAACGTTATATTTGGTGATGTTTCATAGTCCAATAAAGTAGTTGTCCTAATGGCGCCTAAAATTATATATAAAAAAAAAAATAATCATTAAGACCCGTTTCTGGATAGAACATTACACTGTAGGAACATACCCGTGTTGGAAACTACGTGAAACATTCGGCTTTGGGCAAATTCTACTATTTCGTACTGAAGAAGTCCGTTTGACCCAGAATCAGCGTCTATGGCTTTAATCAACATCGGCAATGTATCATTCAACAGAACCAGAGAACCGATCGGTGCAGCTTCACTAATGAGGCCCTTGTAACTAGTGTTGATTAGTACAGGTGAATTGTCGTTTTTGTCAAGCACGTGCACAGATATGCGGCATATGGCTTTAGACCCGGCCTGGAAAAAGTACAAAAATATTTTTGTCAAAAAAATAATAGTTTCGATATGTTAACTGAAAAAAAAAAGTTACTGAACACACATACCATATTCGTAGCTGTGACGCTTAGATTGTACACGTGACACGATTCATAGTCCAACTGTCGTTTGGTGATTAATACACCGGTACTAGGATTCACTGAGAACAAGCTGTACATGTCCCCTTCGACTAGTTCAAATAACAGAGAAGATGTGCTTCTGGCTTGCAAACGTTTGACCACAGTGCCAGACGGTTCGTTCTCGTAGATTTCAGCAGATTCGTTCGGATTTTTGAATCTGGATTTGACGAAAAATAAAACAATGTAAATTTATTATATAAGCTGCACGTACAACATGAAGTTAGACACTTACTTGGGCGGAGCATTGTCGGCCATGACGACCATTATATATACGGGTATAGTAGAGAACAGAGGCGGTGATCCTGAATCCACAGCTTTTACTATCAATGTATACTCTGATGTCACCGACATGTCCAACTCTTTCATAACGTGTAGAGTGCCTAGCTTACTGTCAATGCTAAATACGTTGCCGATATTTCCTATTTATATGTATTTGAAAGAGAAAAATGGGTTTAAATATAATTTCGACACATAAATTGAAATGTAATATTTATGTAACACAACAGGCTCCTAGCGTTTTAATTATTATGGATGTAATTTAATTAAAAAAGTACGAATTATAAATGTTAGTCGAAATGATTCAAATTAACCAGAAGAAAAAAAAAGCGACACGAGATTCGGTTTAAAGAAATAATAAATAACAACTATTTTTGTTTCCTTCGCCATTTGACTCCCTTATTAAATATTGCAATCGTTTTTACCCTCCTTTTTATCGTCGAGCTCTCTAGGCCAAGTGCCAAGTCAATTAACATATGTTGTCGTACACAATCTGTTATTTTGCTTTCCTATCCTTTAGTTTTTTAACATCCTATTCATAATTCATTCATGTAGTTAACTTTTACCTTTCTGAAATATTTATAAACGTATACTATGAAAAAGATATGAGAGTGATATAAATGTCGAGTAAAAAACTCCTCGTAGAAAACGTTTTCAATAAATAAATAAATAAATAAAATAAAAATTTACTGATGACTCCATAAACCTTTAATACACGGGCATGATTTAAACGAATAATAATTCTGCTATAATTTAGCAGTAGTAGGTATACCTGATGTGATGTGATAAGATACGGCAGCGTTTTCACCATGATCCTTGTCTGTAGCCAACAATTGCAGTACACTAGTGCCCACAGCTGTCGTCTCGAACACTCGGCCCTGGACAATGTTGGAACTGAATTCAGGGGAGTGATCGTTACTATCGATCACTGTGATCAAAACGCGTGCAAAGTTCTTTTTGGATGGCGTACTCTGGTCCTTGACCACGACGGTCAACTCGTGTCTGGCTATGCTTTCTCTGAGCAACAGAAAATTAATGTTAACTTGGTAGTGAAAAACGTCCAGTTGGGTATTTCAAGGGACAAAAAAACTTATCTTAATCTAACTTATCTTTAATTATACATTAATGTGTCTTAGGCAAAACATCGTTTCCTTCTAATCGAATAAAAGGTTTTAACTCACATGCGCTCTCTCAGCTACTCACATAAAAAAAAGCTAATTGGATCTCGGTTCTTAGAATTTTTCGTCAAACTCTTAAAAATTTCAATAAAAAAAAAAATAAAATAAAAGCAAATACTGAGGCGACAACTGGACGCTTGATAGATGTGAAATATCGAAACTATTTCGTATAGAAAATGTACCAAAATTAAAAAATAAAAATGACTCGTCAGAAATGTATGCGCTTGATTTATTATAATTTAGTAATTTACACTTTAAGAAGCTCTGCCTTATATAGGCCATAGACAATCGACTCTAAATTAAATTTAATCGTTGATTTTAGTTTTGCAACACTAAAAAAATTTATGAATTTAGAACTATTTACAACATATTGTACGATATAAATTACTATTTTTATACGGACATGGACGTTTTGGCGCTAGACTGGTTCGGCGCCGCAACTTAAAAAAAATTGTGCATGTGACAAATTTATATGGGACACCATGTATATATAAAATATAAATAATATGAGTATTAAATAAAATTGTATTTTGTCCCGTTATCAAAATAAATATAATTTCTATCTTTTTTCTAAGACAATTTATAAACGACCGGTTTGGTGCTGCGGGTACGCGATGTGTGAATAAATACGAATAAATCGAATTAACTAATCTTAGTCAGTTAGATATTACAACAAATTAGATAACTATACAATAACTAATAATATAAATAATAAAATTCAATACTATTATTATTATATTAAGATACTACTCTGAATGCCTTTTCACAATTCAAATTGTTACAAAGGCCGTTTAGTACATTCGCGTTCGCGTATCATGTAAGGTGTACAAATTAATATTTGTATTAAAATGGATCGACTTGTCCTAGACCGACTTTTATACGGGTTTGAACGACATATTTTATTTATGCTATTTTTGTGTTATGCACGAGACACCGGCGATAGTAATAATAATAATGGCGTTATTTGATTTCGGTTTAATTATTATTTATTAAATGAGTACCAATATCTAATAAGTAGGGCTCTGAAGTTGATGCATTTTGCATTTTTTTTCGAACTTTTTAGAAGATGCTATCCTGGCCACAAATGTGTTTCATTAGCATGTGAATCCAAATAACTAATTTTTATTTTGCATTTTTGGCGTTTGTTACTTTTTAAGTCATTTTTTGACATTTTCAGGTAATTTTTCCACATTTTTAGTCATTTTTTCTGATTTCACACTAGTTCATTTCTTATTGTTTCTTATCGACCATTATGCCGATAACTTAAGACTTGTCAGATTTTATCTCGTTGATAACATTTGTCGTTGTCGTGTTGTAGTAAATAGTATTATACCAACATTTTATTATTTTTTCCTAATATTCGATTAGTATCCAATTAGTATCGATAACAGTCGTCGCTTCATTGTCATGTTATAGTGAATAATATTTATATCTAAATTTTATTATTTTTTCGTAATATTTTCGAAATGGCGAAAATTGAAACGTCGGTTAGTGTTCGTCTGCGTCTCCCAATCAATTCAGTGGACGTGGAGAGACATTTTTCCAAATATAAATATTTATAAACAGATAATCGTCATTGATAATTATTTAGGTCATTCTTTAAAGACATTTTTTGTTATTTTTATGTCATAATTGCATCTTTTTTTAGGTCATTTTTTAATGTTTTTAAGGTCATCAACTTCCGAGTCCTACTAATAAGTAATATTTAGCACGAGTATTCAATATAGAACGACCGCCAATTGCGTGGGTAAGGTGGCGTTCAGTGTGCTGAGGTGGATCGAGCGCCGACGAGCCGTAACAAACGGTGCGGCGGCGGCAGCGAAACCACGGGATGGCGACGCGTCGCCACCACAATGGTCAACCCAGTACCCTGTACCGTGAGCCATAAGATGTATAACAGGCTGCATCCGAGTTGCGGTCAGAGACGATTTTTGAGATAAGGATATATAAAAGTTGCGGTCACGCGAACTGTAGGCAATATCCTAGTTGCGGTCATATACCTATCACTTATCTGTAAAGTTAGTAAATAAAATAAATAAATTTGTACAGTGGCGTATATATAACTTTTGTATGGGGGGGGGGATCAATTGCAAACAATTATGGAAGAAAAATTCCTAAACCAAAGGACTTGCATATTTAAATAATAAATTATAATATATATATATATATATATATATATATATATATATATATATATATATTGAATGTGTCAAAATAATAATTTACAATAAATCCTTGAAATATTTTTTTGTTTCCTAATAATTTCCTTTCATTAAGAATACTATTTTATATAATTTTTAAAAGACCTATGGGGGGAATCTCACCCCTACATCCCCCCTTATATACGCCCTTGCAATAGTAGTATAATCACGAACTAGATGATCACCAATCAATGGTACGGCAAAAGGTTAGTTACAGTGTTAAACGTAAAGCAGTGGAGCAGTTGAGCGAGCGTCCCTCCAAAATTTTTTATTCTGAGATGTTAAGTACTGTACTCAGTGTACTGAGGTCAAATGGTGTTACATTGATTAGAAAAAATATACACACTGCAAAAATGAATGTTCACCCGAAGTTGCCACGTGACTTTTCACAATTACTTCAGTAATTTCAAACCTACACAATAAAAATAGTGTAGACAGTCCTAAGTCTGTTTATAAAATGGAAAAGAAAATGTTGAAACTTTATTGTAAATAAAATAGCATCGTATATACCATATATATATTTTGAGTGACCGCAACTAGAATGTAACCTTTTTGTTGGGTGACCGCAACTAGTACGTAATTTTTGATTTTGATCGCAACTAGTATACACCGGTATAAACATCGCAATAGAAAAACCAACGATAATGAATTAGGTGACCGGCGAGAGAGCCGGCTAGATTTTCGAATACGCTCAACTCCTTCCAACCGTACAATAACTTCTGAGCATCTGGGATAACGCGCGTTACAAGTTCAAAGTTCTGCGTACACATAACGTAGCTAAAATATAATATATACGACGTACATTAAGTGCACGCGGCGTGTAAATACAATACCTGTCCAGCGGCTGTTGCACGGACACGACGCCCGACTGGTAGTCGACTGCAAACGATTTGACGGAGTTGATGTGCTGCGCGCTGTATATGCCGTACAGGAGCTTCAGGTCCTGGTCGTCGTCGGTGGCCATCAGTCGGGCCACGGGCGAACCGATTTCCGCGTTCTCCGTCACGTTCACCTCGTACACGTCCTGCGAGAATTTCGGACGGTACTCGTTGATGTCTTTGACGCTGACGAACAGCTGCGTAGCCGTCGTGTAAACGCCGTCCGTAACCGCGATGGTCAGGTTATATTCCTTCTGCGTTTCCCAGTCCAGCTGCCGGGCTAGCACCACATTGCCGTCGTCTTCGATCATGAAATCCAAATTCGGATCGCCGCCTGCGGAATCCGGATTTAGTATTTGTTTTTATTTTTATTTTTTTATTTTTATTTTTTTACATTATATGCCGGTTTCACACCAGAATCATATTCAGAGGAGGGGAGGAGAGGGGTAAATGAGGATATTTATCGCAGTCGCTCGGTGTAATAATTAATATTATACATATTAACAAATATTATTAATATTATTATTTTTTTTAATTAATAAATAAATAAATAAATTTTTTTAATATTATTATATTATAATTAATATTATTAATAAATATTATACATAATAATTCAAAATTGTTGATCTTAATAATATTTGCATAATTTACAAATTAGGCTAAATAAAAATTATGTCTAAAAATATAATAATTATAATCGTAATAATAAAAAAATGTATCTATGTTTTTGGAGGAAAGGGCGTACAAGTATGGTTGACTAAAGGCGCTCATTAGTAAATATGACCAGGGTCCACATACCGAGTTTGGTTTTGGTTTTGTATTTTATTTCAATACTATTTAGATTTTCCCGTTCATGTTCAAAAATATTGGGTCTACAGGTATGTTTTATGATCAAGACATATCTTGTGGACTTGGTGTTATAGCGACAAACTATATTATACGTGATGGTTTGATGAATTATGGTTGAATTTTTTTGTTAACACTTTTTCCTCGGTAAATCCGTTCACCAAGTCTCATACAGTATAAATTATTATTAGATATGGAAAATATTAGACACAAATCTAACAAGATTATTAGGGAAAAGGGTCATTTAAAATTTAAAATTTTATTTTTTCGTTATTTTTTATATTTAATTCACTCGGTTTTTTTTCCATCGTATTACATTAAGTAGTTCATATAACTTATGACTAGACAATTGATTATAACGCTAAATCTAAACTATTTTTTTTTGCCTGGAGTTGAAATATTTGGCTCAGTTATTTTAATCAGATTTTCTGGAGGTAAATCGGTCTTTTGAAGAGAGATACAACATATATTTTATGTACAGAGATGACCTTTAGTAAAAATCTTATTTTCAAATCTACACAAATAATAAAAAGTGCTAAAAGAAAGTTGATAACCATAAAGTTTTTTGTCGGTATTTGTGTCCATAGCGTGGAAGCACAGTACTACTATATATATCGCATTTAAAAGAAAACTGAATAAATATCAAATAGTATACATCTAGGGAACATTGATATCCTTCAATGATTTTTCCTCGCATATTCCTGGACGTTTTTAGGCACTAATTAATTATTCTAATAATTGAATTGTCCTACTATGCGGGTTGTTGTACACGGCGTGATTAGTTTCAAAGTCAGTGTGAAGTGAATGTATTCTAAAACTATAAGTAAAGAGGTACCTATTTAAAAATAAAATATTATTGACATTCTGTAAAATATTCGCCTAAAAAAAAATTAAAAAATAAATAAATAAAAACCAGAGCGTTCTTATTTTTATTGTGATGAAAATGCTAGTTAAAGCGAGAAAAAAAAAAATTAAAAATATTTTGCAACCTTTTGTATCCGATATTTATGAATTAAATGAAGATTTGACCAATAATAAAATGTTCCAATGCTCACACAAAATAAAGTTTACAAAGGATTTAAAATATAAATATTATTAAGCACATTGTTCGATATGTTTAGATTTGAGACGAATAAAATACAATTTTGCTGTTGATTATATGTACATGAATGTAAAGGATAAAAGACGTATTTATAAGAAAATTGTTTGACTGGTATTTACTGTTCAATATTATCACAAATATAAATAGTACTTTATTATTGAGCATGTAACTGTATCAGAAAGTGCTTTGAAGTTTTTCATAACAATTCTTAGGATTTTATATGGTAAAAAAAGGTTATGGAAAATAAATATGGCCATTGAACTTTAAAAAATAAGTGAAAATTTTTAAGTTCGTCGAGTTACACTAATTTATTTTGTGTAATTTTGTAAAGCTTTTAAATTATTTGACATAATATGTAATATTAATTTCTAGTTTGGTCATTTTCTTGAAACGATTACAGTGAATTTCAATGAATAAATATTATACTTAATCTCTCTTTCGATTTATGAGACTATTGCAAAGCATTAGGACTTGAAAATAGATTGAATTATGTGAACTTACTTTCGATTCGGTACCAAAGGTAATCCTGGTCTTTGTCCACAGCATTGATGAGTGCAACTATGTAGCCGACGGTATCACTTTCTGTAACATCTACTTTCTGATTTGGATTTTGGATTTCAGGTACGTATTTTGAGTTCTCTGGAATTTTCAGAACTTCAACGATCACCTTTTTCGCCACGGAACTCATGTTTGGCGATCCGTTGTCAGTGGCTCTTATCTGTATCACATTTAAGGAAATTATTGTAAATTTGATGTTAAATGATTCTGGATCGTTTCGGTTACTTCGTCTCGTCGACGATAAGCAATTTCTTTAAAATCGAAAAACCAAACTAAAAATTTTTTTGAAAAGGTTGTATGTAATTTTTTTAAATAAAAAATATAATAATAAGTACTATTTGAAATATATTTGAAGTACTTCTGTACAAAAGTATTTCAAATGTATTTAAACTACAGGAAAAGTTTTTAAATACTAATATTTAAATATTTAACAAGTATGATAATAAGTTATACTTTATTAGTATATAATATAGAATAGCTGATTGCATTGGTACTAAATACGAAAGAAAATATTTTTAAATTACTAAAGAGAAATATAAATACATTTTAAGCACAAATACAAAATATATGAACAGTCGGTATAAAAATTGTGTTCAATTTATGTTCTATATAGTATGATAAATAAAATTAATAACTATAAAAATTAATAAAAGTAACTAAAATAAACTAACTATAAAACATAAGGTAAAAATGTAATTGTTTTTAGAAACAATGCGATTTATTATTTATCAATAAATAAATGCATTATGTAATAGTACAAGGTGAAATCCTCTTGTACACAGAATTTCAAAGAATAATAAAAAATTTTTGCAAATACTTAATATGATATATACCTAATCATACAATTTTACATCGTTAAAATATAATTCAGCATAATACAAACTATTTTTTTTTGAAAAAAGCTTTAAAAAATAAATTAGTAAAATAAAATATGAGTAAACGATAATGCTCATAAAATAATGCCCACAATTGCATTTGGTTTATCTTTTTCGATAATAAAATTAATTGTGTTGTTGATTCCCTTGGTCTATTGTATCTTATTGATTTTTATGGTATTATTAAATAAAATAATCATAACTCTTAGTTATAGTTCCGTATAATTAATCATGATATGAGTTAAGAAATTGAATAGCTAACTGCAGAAACGGGACAAGTCCACTTTTCCTAATTTTTCAGGAACGATGAAAAACTGAACATGATATGTTCCCTTTCTGCAGTAAAGTGAAATTTCCAAACGCTATATTTAGCGTTTGGATAGTCGGATTTGACTCCTTTCTACAGTAAACGATGTATTTACGCGTACTTAACAAAACATGATAATAAAATCAAATTTGATAAAAATAGACTTGTCCCGTTTCTGCAGTTAGCGATTCAATTATACGAGCATTTAAAATTATAAATAATATTTTCAACTGTAATCAAAGTTTTTCTACTGTAGGCATTTAAAATTGTACAATTGTCAGTTAATAACGTTGGTCTAAATCTAACAATATTTTATCAACAATAATTATTTAATCTGTAAATGGATCAATACTATTTAACTGCAGCAGTTGAATAAGTAATAGTTCTTACAAAATGGTTTAGCTACTCGTATATACATTATAATCCTCAGAATATTAAATGAAATAAAATATAGAAGCCAATGTATATTTTTAGCTGCACGGTGATGATTTATATTGTACTATTAAGATATCAATTACGTATTATTGTTGCACTCACGTAAAATGAAAAGTCTTGATTGCCTCTAAAAGAGTATTCAGAATGAATTACACCAGTATCGGGTTCCACAGAAAATATATCGTCCACTCCTTGGGCAGCTTTCATGGTGTACGTTAATCGAGCGTTGTCACCGGAATCTTTGTCACTGGCTACGACCTACATACATACAAGTATAAGTATACAAAAACGCTAAAAACCATTCGCTGATTTCGTCGTTGTTAACGAGTAATTTAACAATAATATAAACTCGTCTATAAGATGTATAATAAGTAGGGAACGGATTTATATGTAAATGCATATTTTTATTAAAACGAGATATTTAAGATTCGATAAGAAATGTTTATGATTTAAATCATTCCTATTAAAATGATGATACTTTTATTTTACATATTTTGGTATAATTACATATTTTTACATATTTCACTAATTTTTAATTATTTTTAAACATATTTTTATCATTTCATCATTCATACGTCTTCTTCGTACGAAAATACAAGAAATTATTTCAAAATTAGATCCAGAAACTTTTATCGCTATTGGAAAAGCTCAAAATAATATGCAAAATGAAACATTGAAAATTATTTAATTTTAATTAAAAATAATTTAACAAAATTATTAATAAAAAAATATGTCCCCAAATGATAGTATGCAAATTGTTAAATCAGCGATTAAAACTCGTAAGCGGACCAATAGATGTCGTAAAAAAGAAAATTCATGCTGTTACAGAAAAAAATTCCAGCCAATATTGATTTTAAAACAATCAATGACATAATGAATGGCAGACAACCTTTTAAAAATTTGGAATTATCGCCTTCTGATAGTATACACTTGAAATATGCTTTTAATACATAGGTTGATGTGAAACGATAATTTAGCCGTTTTAAAAATATTTTGATACCTAATAGGCGACATTTAGCATTTGATAATTTACAAGATATTGTAATAATTCAATGCAACAAATCTTTTTGATAATTTAATAATAATAATCACTTTTTTTTTAAAGTTTTTTTTCCCCACATATTTGGATGTTTTTAGCACATATTTTATAAATTATACTTACATATATATGTACATATTTCTGTATTTTAATTACATATAAATCCGTTCCCTAATAATAAGTAAATGTGTTAGTACACGCGCTGGGAATGTGAGAAATATAAAAACATATTTAAATTTTGCACGTTTTTTATTCGTTTCACAAAGTTACAAAATCAATGAAAATCCCCATTGAAATGTTAGAAAAACGTTCGACAAGACTTTCTACAAGGTTTTCGTCTGCCGACTTAAATAGTACGATCGTAATAGATGCTAAAATTAAAATCAAGCATAATTTACAGGTTACATTTACTACATTTACATAATTTACATTTAATAAACAGGTACGTACTCTGAACAACGCCGGGCCTATGATGTCGTTGGGCTCGAAAGAGATCCATGGTTTTTTGTCCAGAAACTCGTCGATTTCGGTCATTTCCGCGGTCACTGCAGCCGTGCCATTCTCCTGGGTCAGCGGCTCTTGCACGGGTTGCGTCTCGGGAATTTTGAACCGGTACATTTTCTTCAGCATTTCCGGCGCATTGTCGTTCACGTCCTCGACTGTGATTACCACACTGGTCGTAGATGATAGCACGGGTATACCATCGTCGATAACCGTAACCTGTTGAACAGTGTGTGAAAACAATGTAGATGAATTGCACACGGTGTTACGGACGAACACATTAAATAATTGTTGTACCGGCACTAAAAGGCGTAGTCACCAAACGGGTTTAAAGGGATTAAAGGTTTACACAGTGAGTTCAAACAAAATCGATGTTAGTTTATAATAGACGATTTAAATACATGTTAAGATTGCATTAGTGTGTCAGTCTCTAGAAAATAATTAATAATGAATTACAGAAAAATCTCTCTGAAAAAAAAAACCCATAAAAGTTGAATGTTAAAGGAATACATTTATATGGCAGAGATCTGAAAACTACAACAATAAAATAATTACGCGATTTCAGATAAAACTGTATGCTGACGTTGAAATTTGTCACATTCAATTTTTATAATTTTACGAGTACACGGGGAATTGTAAAATATGCTTAGCTATAGAGTATGTTGCAGTTGTTAAATTAGAAATGTTATTACATTATACTCAATAAAAATATGTTCATTCCCAGGACGTCGAAATCATCATTACATTTTATATTATGTAAACACGACATTAAATTACAACTTTGTCTGTTCTGTGGGGGATTTAATAACTATAAGAATTTATAAAAACTTGTGAAATCTTTGAAACTAAATTGTAATAATATTAGTTGGGCATCAAGTGCGTAGTATTTACCTCTAGTATGTGTTCGGATTCGGTCTCTCGATCTAGTTTACGTCCGGTAGTAGTTATAAGACCTGAAAAAAAACATTGAAATTTCTTATCGTTGGTTCATTTTTCAAAAACGATAACAATTGTATTTAAAGCCTTCCTTACAATCCCTTAGATTACCGTCAGAATTTCAGTAATGGTAGTGAACGACGGGTAAGGTAAATATATAGTCAGTTCCTGTCAGTGCGAATACAATACGCGTCAACTCTTCTACCTAAACCTGCGAGATGTTTCGATGTCCTTTTGTGCTTTTCTAAATTGTACATGCTGTAATATCCTTATATCCTTTTCCTTTTTCTGTCATGCCGTTTATTATCTTACTAACGAGACGAAAATTAGTGGAAATAACGTAATTTATAGTCTGCTAAAATATGTTCATTGTACACGTTATATTATGTAGTAATATGAATAAATTCTTTAAGAAACGACTACATATTATATTTTAAGATCAGGTGATGGCATGTTTATTGATGGTAAGAATGTGAGAGAAAGAAATGTTATCGGCTTATATTATATATAAATTAAAATTTATTAAGTGATAACATAAAAATTACTAGTATTTGTTCTACACGAGTTTATACCATATAATTCGTCGAATTTTATTAATAATAATTGGGTTTTATCTCTCAGGAAAGTTGCATTTGAGATTTCAGTACAATTATACTATTAATTTTTTCATTAATACGACTGCATCATCATCGTTTTATGAATGAATAATATAATAATTATGGCAGAGTATACGGTAAGAGGTTGCTTTTTGGATAAGCTTTATTTTCACTACAAACGCCGTAATAAATTATTAATAACGTTAATTAATGTATCGAGACCGCTGGAGCTAACTTATCGGCCGAACGGTCGTAAAATATATCAATGTCTTCTCAAGTTAATATCCAAGTATTAAAGCCCTACTACGATACCCTATAGACTATATATAATCTATAAATTGCAAGCGTTTGCATACCATTATTTCGCCAATGTCCAGCGAGGAAAATTTGAATTATGGTAATTCCTATAACGGTTATATTCAAGTTATAAAACAGATAATCATGTTTTGGATTATTTAACAATGGATTTAAATGGTTTCAAAATCAATACAATCATAGTGTTTATTCACGCGGAACTAGGGTTCAAGATGAACAAATTTAATCATAATTTTTGTAGAAATAATATTGTTTTTATAATTTATTTTACGAAATCATTACAAGTAGTAGGTACTCTGATGTTTTTCAAAGTATAAAGGAGGTATGTAAGTTGATAAATAATATACATAAGCACGGTAAATATATTTATTCAATTGTTTTACTTAGTATGGTTTGCTATAAGTTTTTTAACAGGGTTTATTTCTGTAAATATAACTGAAAATAAATTTACTAAATATTATATAACTCAGAACGGAAACAAAAAATAAGCTAGGCTCTTTTTATTGCTATATTATAAAGTTTATAATATAAACGGTAACCAAAAAAATAATCAATTTTGACTGGTGATCATTAAAAGGGATGTATAAAATAAGTTTTTAATCAAATTGTCAGATGTAATAAACATATTGCGATTTAGATAAAATAATAATATAATAATATTATATAATACGGATATCCGGCACAAATAAATAATATAAATATGATTTATTATTATTTGTTTTAAATTGTATTTAGTGCAAGTATATACTTATATTAAAACAATAATAACAGAAAAATAATATATAACAGATAACGATAAAATGGGATTGAAGTACAAACAACGATGATTATTTTGTCCAAGAGTAGAAAAAAAAAAAAAAAAAAAAAATATAATAATAATAATAATAATAAACACGTCCACATATTTAGATATGTCACGAGTTCTATACACAGGCGAATAGATATTGTACATGCGTAGTAAAATAATAATAAATTAGTACACGAGAATAAAAAGTACAATTGTCGAATATAAAATGGAAAAAACATGTCGAAAACCGTGGTGGTTGTGATCAATTTTCCCCCTGTCATTTCTCGTAGGGGACATGTAAATGAGATTTGCGATGATAATCCTATGTCGATGTTGATCTATCAGGAGAGAGAGAAATCATATTTACAAAAAAGGCCAGCGAACGTATGATTTTCTCCAACAATAGTTTATAATAATATACTCTTATGTTATTCAGACGTGATCGCGAAAAAAGTGCTTGCACCGCGTTGGCAATGCCTTGGCGGAGCTGAAACGGTGCCCCCAGTAAATTAATTTGTGTGGATAACGCGCCATAAAAGTCGTACGTTTGTGTACAGATGTTTAATTAAAAAACTTTTTCTCGAAAAATACTATCGCAGAAACACGCTCCTTGTTCCGCACCCCGATAATCGCAAGAATAAAAATGGTCGTCCAATTAGACGAACAGGATGTGGCGGATGTATGCGTGACAACACCGGTGCCGTTTTCTTCGTGTTATATATGATACAGGGAAACGACATCGTCGATCAAACGACGTACGTATCACGTGATGATCTGAAAAATTGGAAATTTAATTTAATGAAATTTTACCGATTCCCGAATCGTATTCGCATCTTGCTTCTGGTAGTATGTACACTGGAGTTAGTATGGATGCAGTATAACCGACACGGTGTCCGTTAAATATGTGCTAGTTCAGTCGATTCCACCAACTATGGATGCAGCAATGATCAGGGTGGAGAGTGGTATAGGTTTTGAATTATTTATATTTACCGACCGACAGCAGTTAATGGGAAACCGTATAGGAAACGTCACGTTGAGGATAGAATTGAAAGGAAAAAAAAAACAACAAAAATTATACGAGGTCAAATCGAGTCATACGCGCGTTATATTATGCTGCCTGCCAAGTTTACTAAAATATAATGTAAAGCACATTATATTTCATAAATCATTCGATCACCAGAGATGGTTGAGCTGATTATAGGGGTTCATGGGAGTTATATTATAAGGAGAGAAATGTATTTACAGGCCTCATAGATTTTAACGTTAATGCATATTGTTGCATAAACTGAATAGTATTATACATTTACAAATAAAACATATATTATTTAGGCTGTGACTTATGAGTATTCCAATTGAGAAAACAAACCAATACTTCCTAAACCTTCAAGCAGTTTTTAAACTTGTTCCATTAAAATCAACTATTAAGTTTAGGTTGTGGCATCAGACGTAAGAAATTTGAAGATTAATATTATGCATTCAATTATTTAATGCTATTTAGTTATAATATTTACTAAGACCACGTAGGTACAGTCGTTGCCAGATAAATTGAGACGGTGGCGGCGGCGCTTTTCATTAAGTGTAGCCCAAACTAGTCGCTGATAGTGTGGTGCAAAGGTCTCACAGTTAGCTACGACGCGTGCAGTTACCAGTTCGAACCCGGCTTAGTGCAAAAAATTGTCTGCAGAATTTTCTGTTCTCTCTCCCGTTCTGGTTGCCCTACACTGCTAAAAACAACTAACCTAACCCGGTGTGTTTTGACCGCACAAGCACTCCAGTCGTATCAACAATATTTGTTTATAATAATGCATATAGATGTTGTTATTATTTCATCATATTATTAATATTATGTATTATTATTATATTAATTATATTATTTTACAATTTCTACTTTTTGTTCTTAAATAAAAAATTATTATTGGAATATATGATTTTAAATTAATATCGTAAAATATTTTTTGTAACAATAGTTGGTTTATTGATATATTTTCAGTAATAATATTGAAATACGGAGGACCACTGGTTTTCCGTTATCGCGCCGCCGCCGTCGTCTCAATTTATCTGGCAACGACTGTACATATAACATGTATCTCGACCAGCCAATTTAAAAATAGGGATACAAAAGTATATATACTTTATAATTCCTTTAAGCGACATATCCGGTAATAATATTGCATTTTATATAATATTTTTATTCTACAAACTCGTATTGTAATAATAAGTTTAATGACTTACCGGTGTTAGAAGAGATCGTAAACAACGATTGGGGGTTGCCGGTGGTTATTTTGTACGTGATTCTCGTGTCGGACAGATCAGCGTCGGAGGCTTCTAGCTGGATGATCGGTGTATTGGGCAAAGCGTCTTCTTTTACGCGTGGATAATATACCGGAGCTTTAGTCAAAGGCACATTGTCATTAATGTTCTTTACTTCAACGAAAACCTATAAATAAATAAGAAAATTGAGTCATTAATAATTAGATATTATACATTTCATGTACAAGATGTGCGAGCGAATATTTTGAATCAACGAACAGACTATTGATAATAACGTAAACAGCAACAACAAAACAAAAGAGTTATCTAATTTTTAGAAACGAAATGACATTTTTACAAACGACTCATAACGAAAGGGAAAATGACGTAATATGTTCATGTTATAAAATATACTTATTCAAATTTTCATATATGGCATGTATACATGATATATAGCGATTTATAACAGGTGCAATAGTTTAAGTAAAAATAAATCTGGATAACTATAAATATAAAATAAATTAACGATCAAAGTAGTAAACAATACTAAAAGTTTTAATAGTCAAGATGAGAGCAGTCACGCAAGTAATTTTTTTCATGAATGAGAGGTTATAGTTTTACATACTACCAGGAATTTTATACCTACTATCATAAAAAAAAAAAAAAACTATTTAAATTAATAGGTATAGTTATTAAATTAATACTCTTAGTCATGCATTAAATTTACAATTTTTTTTCTTGATTTTAATTTGATAATAACAAAATATTTTTTGTTAATTATTGCATCTTAAAAGAAATATCATGTTTCAAAATTTTAAATAAATTTATATTTTCCTTAAAATGGTTATGTATAATTAAAAGTTGTAAGTCATAACACATCTACAAATATTGATTGAGTTAATCGTATGAACATATGAAAATAATTTCTATATACAGATAAATAATATTATTGAATAAATAGAGTACAACGTGTAATCCCTAACAATCTTAAAGAGATTATCGAGCTAAACTGTGAAAATAATAACAGAATATCAATCTAGATTCAAAAAGAGTAAGTTAACCACGTTAGTAAACAGGCAAATAATGAAATAGTATGAATACGCGAAGGGCTTGCATACACGATCTTCATAAACTATAAGCCTTTTGAAGTTTAAATTACTATCAAAAAAAGGGAAAGAGCATAAATATACATAAATATATACATACATAAATTTAATTTTATGGTAGAGAAAATTTGACTTTAAAATCTCGAAAAAGATGCGCGACTGATATTTGACGGTGACGGTATAACGCAGAGACGGGAAAAAAGATATAATTTCCAGTTATACACACACTTAGGGTGAGAAGGAGAGAGCGAAGGAGAAAGTGTAATACAATTTATAAGGATCATTATATTTGAGTGGGTCAGGTATGTATGATGAACGGTTGGCATCGTAATGAAAACAATAATGACTAGCAGGGTGCAAGGAAAAATACCAAGAGGAAGACCCTTGAGCAGATGGCAGTAGAGAGGAGTTAGGGATATAAAGGAAATAGTTGCAGAACGGGTGGAAGATAGGGATACAACATAAAATAAGAATGTATGGAAGGAATTAGTTTTGATGGTAAAGACCTTAAATTACTGGACGAAAAAATACTCAAAATTAATAATATATTTATTCTTATTTGATAAATTAAATTACCATTATTATGTGAACAAAATTTGTTGCAATTATGTTGGTTAAAATATAGTACTAAAATAATGATAATAATAATATCATGATTTTTCAGAAACAACTAGGGCATTTTTTTTAACTCATCAAATGAAAAAAAAAATCATTATACGTATTATATATTTATGTATAAGTATACATGAGATCGTAAATCCCGCCATTCTGTTCTATTGAATACCACTTTATTAATATTTTGTTAGTTTTTCAGATTTTTCTTAACCGACATACAATTGTATTTTTTCATTCCACTGTATATATACGTAAATTACCTTTTTTTTTTTTTTGAAAAACTATATAGACAAATAAGAAGAGTTTTTTATAAAGACGACGTTTATGTGGGATATTAGGAATATTGATTTTATATAGTCTTACAACTATTATATAATAAACCCTCATACATTGTACACGAGGATTAAAGTTTTATAGTTCTTTCCATTTTGAAGTTTATTGTAAATGGCCACCCGTATTTAAAAGGCTATAAAGGAACATCGAATCTTTTACAACAGAATTTGAAAAATAAACAAAGATAAGTTTAGTGTGTGTTGTCTGTCGACGAGTTAAAAGTTGAAGGTCTAAAGATTTACTATACAAATAATTAATATATGTATGAAAAATGCCTGGATATTTGTAATTAGTTTACATCGAATTTAGCAACGATAGGTCTGAGGGCCTAATTAAGGACGTCATTTCAGTTTATGAAAGGGTAAGGCAGCTGAAAAAATTGCCAACTTCATAAAATTTAAAAAACTAAAAATATTGAGAAATCTATGTATCTATATCTATTTTTAGAATTTATCTAGATATGCCATAGAAGTGTTTCGCAAAATAACGATTGTCAAAAGCCGAAGAGTCAGTGTTTCTTAACATTTTAATAAACCGTAAATGTATCTAAAAGACAATATTATCTAACTTCAGAGAATTGAATACAAATTTATAAATACCGATTTTAACGATAATCGAATAAAGAAAAACCAACATTTTTAATTTTACGAGAGTGAGGAATTTACTATAGTCTGTCCTCCTTAAATAACTCCCGGACCTAACATTATAATATAAGACTCGACTATTTTAAATGTGAACCGCTCATCGTAGTTGTATTAAACCAATACAATGTATATTAAGTATTTATAAAATGTATGATAAGTAGGTAATAAACAGTTTAATAAAAATGGGAAGAAATGTGCGGTTGACCAGCTATAAATTTTGATTTATTCTCTTTTTGATCGGAGTGTTAAGAAAGTTCACCTATATTACTGCAGTATACAGACCATAATATCATATTATACATGTTTGATGAATACTATTTTCATTGTAACGGTAAATATGAAATAATCAGGGGGCACAGAATTTGCAAAGAAAAAACGTACAAAGAACACGTAAAATCATGATACAACGCAGCATATACTTTATATTTTCGCTAACATAATAGTAGCAGCGTAAGCCGTTTTATGGTTGTCGAATTTGCAATATTATGAACATTTAATGTTCGTATGTATGATCCGAAAGCTATAGTCCATAAATATTTTAAATATTGGTCACCTAGAACAGAACACTACCACTACTACTAAAATTACTACTATTACTACTAAATTTGTTCTCCAGAGTTGCTGAGCTAATAGTCGATTTCACATATGTACATAACTAATTAACGTAAATGTGTATAGGTATACCTCAAGCCGAGAATGTAGGGGAACGGTGGCATGGTCAAAAGCCATCACAGTCAGCCAATACGAAGATTTAGTCTCCACATCTAAAACTACCATTGTCCGTATATTGCCTGTAAAATAAAAACAAAATTAAATTAGATAAATAAAATCGAACAGTATAATAAAATAAAATTATAATTTTGATTGGTTGTTCGAATTATATATTGAGATACAAACTCGAGATTTATATATGGAACTATATATATATATATATATATATTATTTTTTAAATAATATTTATTCATAAACAAACACTATACAGGTAACTGCAGCAGAGCAATGAATTTTGTATTTGAAAATTAATATTATATTTACTCGAATTAATACATGTACTCCTATTTTGTTATTAAAAAAAAAAAAAACAATAGCTGTGAACAAGTAAATATATGTCTGATATTTCCCCAAATATTTTGCGTCGTATATATAATTGAATTAACAATAAATCTTTTATTTTTGAAATGTTCAAATAAATTGAGATAAATAGAGAGAGAGAGAGAGAGAGAGAGAGAGAGAGAGAGAGAGAGAGAGA